GGTCCCCTTGGATTTTCTGTGAATTTGCACCTCCAGAAAGGTCCTTGCTTGTTGGGTTGTCTGTCATGTGTCAATGGCGTTCTGTGTGGAGCCTCTTGGTGGTCAGCATCTTCCATGTTACGGACTATGTTTCAGTGGACACACATCTTTATGCTCTTCTGTACACACGTTTTGAAGTTGGAGCCTTACAGGTGGAATTTCTGGGACAGGTGCACATGTCCTGCCAATTTGTGCAGTAAACCTCTAAGGCCCCAAGAACCTTCTCTCTCCTCCCCACTGCCCTTTCTCCTGTCTTGAAAATATACTTTCTCTTGTAATACATGAGAGTTGATTTTCTTGTCCCAGGTATCCTACACTAATGCCCTTTCATGGGCCTGGAGGAAGGAAGGGAGGAGAGGAGTTTCCTCATTGCTGAAAGGCATCCCTTACAGAGAAGCCCAGGAAGAAGGAACGTTCTGACCACGGTGTGATACAGATAGGAGGGTTGGTCTCTTTCTGGCCTCCCTGCAGAGAGCAGCTCAGACTATGGCTGTCTTTGTGCCTCCCCTGTGAAACTTCCGCCCCCTTCTCCTAAGCCCCTTGAACTCACAGGCCATTTGTCCTGTGCTCCAGCCAGCCTCAGGGGCTCACGCCTGTAATCTTAGCACTTTGGAAGGCCGAGGTGGGTGTATCACTTGAGTCTAGGAGTTCAAGAGCAGCCTGGGCAACATAGTGAGACCCACATCTCTACAAAAACTAAAAAAAACTAAAAAATTAGCTGAGTGTGGTGGGCTGTGCCTGTGGTCCCAGCTACTTGGGAGGCTGAGGCAGGAGAATCACTTGAGCCTGGGAGATTGAGGTTGCAGTGAACTGTGATTGTGCCACTGTGCTCCAGCCTGGAACCGTGCAAAAAAAAAAAAAAAAAAAAAAAAAAGAAGTTGGCTATCTTTAATTTCAGAATTCTGGGCCAAATTTAAATGTTCTCTCTTTCCTTGGCCTTTGCTGGGAAGCTAAACATTTGACTGTAGTTAGATGTGTGTCTTCTCTCTCTCTCTCTCTCTCTCTCTCTCTCTGTGTGTGTGTGTGTGTGTGTGTGTGTGTGTGTGTATGTATGTGTATGTGTGTGCGTGTTTATGTGCATGTGGAAATACCTACCAAGAACATAATCTTATAATGGTGAGAGGGAAAAATTCTAGACTGAGAGATAGGACTGTTTTTTGGATTCTCTGAAGTTAACCGTGACCTGGTTCCCTAGCTTTGTTCAGAGGCTGTTGGTTGCATAGCACAGGCTTGGTGCTGAGTCCTGCTTGTAGAGAAAGGGTGAGAAGTGTTCGGGGCCCTGCGAGCCTCTTTGAGTATGGGGAAGCTGCCCTGTGGGAACAGGTTATTCTGTTTAACTCCAAGGCTAGAGTGAGACCCAGAGGTTAGGAGTTGCAGGGAGGCGCGGAGGAGCTCCTGGTGAGCAGGACCCTGCCCTGTGAGCTTAGGCCTGTGGAGCCGGCCGGGATGGCGGTCATTGCAGTGGAAGCAGTTCAGGGCTTGATCTCTCTCCCAATGTCTTCCACGGGAGGATCCCACCGTGTTAATGAACGCTGGGGGGAGCATCAGAAAGGACCTGGAGGTCTGTGCTGGGGTTTCCTTGACCGACCCTGTTGCACTGGGAATTTGTGGCCCACTCTCACGGCCCATTGTGGCAGCCTGATTCACGCAGCCTTGAATCGTCCCTGAATTGTCCCTCAAGGCTAGGCATTCAGGGGACTGTTTCCCAATGAATTCACACGGCCCTGAATCGTCCCTCAAGGCTAGGCATTCAGGGGACTGTTTCCCAATGAATTCACACGGCTCTGAATCATCCCTGAATTCTCCTTCAAGGTTAGGCGTTCATGGGACTGTTTCCCAGTGAAGAAAGGCTGAACCATGGCGTAGACTCCTGATTCTATCGTGCACTGGTGGAAGTGGGTGCTGCTGGCTACGGCCCAGAACCCGGCTTTGTGTCATTTCAAAGCTGCCTTTTAGAATGAGTTTGTTTCTGGGCTGGGAAGGCGGGAAGCCGTTGCGGGAGAGCGTTGGTTTGTCTACCTGTGGCTGCCACCTCGTGGGGAACTCAGGCAATGGCAGCCGCCTTTGTTCCCCAGCAAACCAGACTCATTTGGAGCCAATGGGGTTCTCACTTGCCTTAGGGGATGCTTAGAGAGTAAAACATTTGAAGTAATTTTTAATTGGCATTTTTGAGGTATTGCTTACCAATCAGGGCAATCCAGTCTAGATGCTGGACCTTTCAAGGCATGGGTAGAAGGTGTTGATTCACCAGATATCAGGACGGCCCTTCATTGACCGGGTGTGGTCATGGGTGAGTCCCCTCTTCTTTTTTGTGTGTGTGAGACAGAGTCTCACGCTTGTCACCCAGGCTGGAGTGCTGTGGCGTGATCGTGGCTCACGGCAACTTCTGCCTCCTGGGTTGAAGCAATTCTCCTGCTTCAGCCTCCCAAGTAGCTGGCATTACAGGTGCCCACCACCACGTCCAGCTAATTTTTGTATGTTTAGTAGAGATGAGGCTGGTCTCAAACTCCTGACCTCAGGTGATTTGCCCGCCTTGGCCTCCCACAGTGCTGGAATTATAAGCATGAGCCACTGTGCCTAGCTAGGTCTTTTTTTTTTTTTTTTTTAGAAGAAAGATTTTCGATGTCAGTGAGGTTCTGTTTCTCTGTGCATTCCTGTTTTGCAGCAGTGACACCATTTTACAAAACAGCGAAGATTTTGACTGCTTGAGATACCTGTGTACCGCTTTTTAAAATAAGTTCTATATTTTCATGTCCTAGTAAGAGCTCCCTTGAAAGGAAGTGTTCTGCTTTAAAAATAAAGGAAAAAGAATGAGCCTGAAATGAACCAATTTTCCTTTTCTCCCTCCCTACCTCCCTTTCCTTACTTCTTTCTCTCATTCTTTTTCTTTCTCTTCCCCTTCCTTTGCTTCTTCCCTGCCTCTCTCCCTCCCTCCATTTCTCCCTCTTCCTTGACTTCCTCTTTAAGAGTCAACAGTGCTAGGATCTAATGCTTAGGTCTTAGAGGAGGGAGCTTACTTTCTTGTTGCTATGATTCTGACTTAAATTAAGCCCTCTTTTGCTTTTTGTGTTTTTCATGTTTATTGAGAGCTGACCTTAACTCCAAAGGGAATATTCCATCATCTCAGCTTCTGGTTCTCTGGGTTGCAAACACCTGATAACTCAGGCCCCCACTGAATGAGCCAGGGGGTTCCTGGACTGGAACTGGAAGGGCCAGGCAAGTTTTCTTGGTTCAGTCTTGGCATTTGAGGAATCCAGAAGCTGAAACCCAGAGATATGGAGTGACTCAGCCCAGGGCTCAGATCCCATAAGGTGACAGCCGAAGCCAGCAGCAGCCCCCCTGGCAACCTCTTAACTCATTATCTTGGTTTGTTTGTTTCTCTGTAACAGCACCCCAAATGAATTTTAGTGCCTGTCATTCAGAGTAGGCTGCTGTCTAGCTTAAAACACTCCACAGCAGGCGTCTCCAAAGTTTTTACACAGGGGGCCAGTTCACTGTCCCTCAGACCGTTGGAGGGCCACCACATACTGTGCTCCTCTCACTGACCACCAATGAAAGAGGTGCCCCTTCCTGAAGTGCGGCGGGGGGCCAGATAAATGGCCTCAGGGGGCCGCAGTTTGGGGACGCCTGCTCCACAGTCCTGTCTCACTGGGGAACAGTCTTCACTGAGCCCTGAGGCTGTACCCTCGCCCACTTCTCCAGGCCCCCTTTGAACCCACCTCCTCCTGTGCCTTGGGCTCCAGCCATTCCACCCTGCCCTTCTCTTTGTTCCTAGAACAGCCTTTGGGCCTCGCTTCCGGGCCTTTGCACTTGCCCTGCCCTCTGTCTGTTGTGCCCTCACTGCTCTTCTTCATGTGCCTCCAAACTCTGCAGTCATCTTCTTCTAGAAGCCTCCTCGGCCTTAGCCTCCCTCACAGCCCTCCATTCTGCTGCTCAGATGGCTCTCTCGAGCCCATTATTCTATTTTATTTTTTATTTTCTCGTTCTTGCCTTGCTCTGAAGTTACTTTATTTGGCCTGTGTGTCTACATCCTCCCAGTTAGGAGAAAAGGCCCATAGGGCACAGGCTCTTGGCATCACCTGCACCTAGAGCAGTGCTAGACCTATTAGATGCTTGCACGGGATGCGGGGGGACCCGACACCATGGCGGGGCAGGGGGTGGGGTCACCCTAGGGCTTTTGAGTGTCTTGAGGTCCAATTTACATAACCTGATTTGGGGCTAAGTGACTTTCTGGGAGGACTCACAAGACTCAGAATGTAATTATACTCAGTGACTGACATCTTTACAACAAAAGTACACAGAGCAAAGTCGGCACAGGGGGAAAGGCGCGTGAGGCAACGTTCAGAGGAAACCGGGCCTGAGTTTCCAAGAGTCCTCTCCGGATGGAGTTCCTTGGGATGCACTCCATTCCCCCAGCATGGAATCACAACACAAGTGAAGTGTTGGCCTCCACAGAAGCCCGTTAGAGACTCAGTGCCCAGGTGTCCTCCGGGGACTGGTCATGTAGGTACTGCTGCCTATCATGTACCCAGATTCTGAACTCCCAGAAGAAAGCAGGTGTTCAGCATAAGACGCTCTGTCTGTACAGGCTCAGTACCAGAGCTGCCCATATCACGGAAGAAAGTTTTACATCGGCCTAGAGGCCTGTTTACTGTTTGGGTTTATAGACACCATTTGTTGGGGTCAGCCTTGCAAGCAGGCCTGTCTAAGGATATAGGAATCTCAGGCCTGCTGTGTTAACTCCTCGGCACAATGCGTAATATTTAATAATTGTGATTGAGTGAATCTAAATGAATCAGCCCAGCGTGACTGCAGGGCTTGGAGAAGTGGACCTCAAGACCCTCAAAAGCCCTAGGGTGACCCCCACAACCTTGTCATCAGTTCCACCCTCAGACAGAGTAGGGAGGTCTCCTCCACCACCTCCCCCAGACCCTTGGTAAGTGGGACTCTCTGGTCCCCAGGTGTTGAAACACAACGGGTCGTCTGAGATCCTTAACAAGCTGTATGACACGGCCATGGACAAGCTGGAGGTGGTGAAGAAGGATTACGATGCCCTGCGGAAGAGGTACAGTGAGAAAGTCGCCATCCACAACGCAGACCTGAGCCGCCTGGAGCAGCTCGGGGAGGAGAACCAGCGGCTGCTGAAGCAGACAGAGATGCTGACCCAGCAGAGGGACACGGCCATCCAGCTGCAGCACCAGTGCGCGCTCTCCCTGAGGAGGTAGGCCAGGGGCCACGGGGTGGCCGGGGGCAAATGGGTCCTGCAGGGTTCCCAGCTACCACTGGGGACGAGAACAGCATGAGTTACTGTGCTTTTTCAATCAAAAAATGCTTCTGACCAGGGAACTTTGTGTTGACACCGAATCTGTCTTAGGAATCGTGGTTCCCTCCTCCCACCTGAACATCCCTGTTTATCTGCGGGTTCCCAGACATCATTCCGTGGTCAGCCTTGCAAGCGGCCCTTTCTGAAGATTTGTACTGTATTAACTGATCTGCACAACACTTACTAAATACTGGTGCGTTCCGAGCATCATTTGTTTGGTCCCTGCCATATGTCTCTCCCCTCCATGGCAGTCACCCACCTAGCAAATAGGAAAGTCAGTTATCCGGGGCATGTGTCTTCTGTCATCTTTAGAGATGTGATAGATGCCTTCAAACAGTGTTTGTGGAGTATGTGCCTGTGAATCACCAGTTCTCCTGATCATTGGTCGGTTTCACATGAAAAGTGCTTGCTGGGGATAAATAGGTTTGAGCATTGCCAGGTTGAACCCAGACGGATGTCTCTGCTGCAGGCCTTGTCAGAGCCTTCAGTGTGGTGATGTGCAGTAGATAGACTGTCCAAGAGGGAGCCAAGATGCAGAGTTTCCTAAACATAAGTTATCTGACAATATACTTGTTTTCTTTTGTAATGGAACTCTGAGCAGACCCTGTGTCTGAGGAGCACACTGAGAATAGCTGGTCTGAGCCATGGCTCTGATTTGCAGGCTGCCCATGTGGAAGATGCCCCCTGGCCTGGAACGACCAAGCTGTGCTTTTTGAGTGAACTTCATGACCTTGTCACAAGGCTGTACTGTTCGTATCTATAAAATGAGGCAGTCTGACTGAATGATCGTTAAGGGCTCTTATCTCTCATATGCTGTTATCCTGGTATTGTTTTGTTTTCTTTATTTTGAAAAACTAATGCGGCTTGACTGTGGGAGAAATGTGCTGTTGTTTCTCGCGGAGCAGAGGGCATGATGTCCTCCGTTCAACTCCTGGCATTTGTAAAAGGCTGAGAAAAATTCCAGGTCTGGGGGCACTGGCACTCCATGACTTTTCTCTCTTGGGGGCAGAGAGAGTGACTTCACTTGAAACTTCACGCTTGACTGTCCAGCACAGCAGAGCTGGCGGGAGGCGGCAGCGCCGCTGAGCACTGACGGGGCGGACCCCCGCCCCTCTCACGTCTGGCTGCCTCTCCCCCCAGGTTCGAGGCGATCCACCATGAGCTGAACAAGGCCACAGCACAGAACAAGGACCTGCAGTGGGAGATGGAGCTGCTGCAGTCAGAGCTGACCGAGCTGAGAACCACGCAGGTGAAGACAGCGAAGGAGTCAGAGAAGTACAGGGAGGAGCGGGACGCTGTGTACAGCGAGTACAAGCTCATCATGAGTGAGCGCGACCAGGTCATCTCTGAGCTGGACAAGCTGCAGACTGAGGTGGAGCTGGCTGAGTCCAAGCTCAAGAGCAGCACGTCTGAGAAGAAGGCGGCCAGCGAGGAGATGGAGGCACTGCGGCAGGTAGGTGGGCGGGCTGGTGGCTGGCTTTCGGCCTCTCCTACAGCATCCAGGGAAGAGCAGAGCGGGTGCAGAGTGCACATGTGCAGATTAGAAGCCTCCGTCTGAGTTGGAGTAAAGGGCTTCTCATTGAAGGCCTAAGCAAGCTGGGTTATCAGACACCATCCAGGTAACTCCCAAGCTCATGCTCAGTGCCCAGCTCTAGTCTGGATTACAGGGGACAAGCGGGGAGGGAGGCCCAGACACCGTCTTGGATGTCTGGAGCTTATACACCGGGAAGAGTCAGATGACACACACAGACACTCTCACACCCAACCCCATTGCTACATGATTGCAGACCAGTCTCATGCTGAAAGTCAGTGATATCTCAAGGACTTGCTTATTAGAAGCAAGATACCAAGGCCAAGTTCCCAAAGCCATAGATACGTTAGGCCTCTTGCATCTGAAAGAGCACCCTCAGGGGCTCCTTTTGACCGGCAGTGTGCGCATCTGATCAGGTCTGTTCTTGAAAGCTTATTTCAGGCTCCTGCTGGGAAGATGTGCTAGTAGGCAGAGCACAACGTTCTTCTCCTAAAGCCTTGCTCTCTGGGAGCCACACCTCCAGGGTAGTAGGGCTGAGATGTTCCGTAGCATTGTATTGGGCCACCTAGCTCGATTCCTGCGTGGCCAGTGTGGATTCTCTGCCTCGTTCCTACTTGTCAGCCTCTGCTCATCGCTCATCGCTCATGCTCCTTGCCCCTAGTCTAGCTGAGCCCCACTGGGACTTGGATGGGCCTGTGGAGATTCCCATCAGTCTATGTTGTGTGTGTCTCTGATTAGAGCTTCTAGACTTGATCACAGGAGACTTTTTTTCCTATCAGAATAGTTCTCAGACATTCATGCCACTCTATTCTTCTGCCTTTCTCTGCAGGTCAGTTAGAAGGAAGCTTTCATAAGTGGTTTATAAGAAGCAAAAAGCAAGGTGTTAAAGGTCAGGCAGGTTGGCAGGGGTGGTGTGCATTGGATCATTACTACTAGGTCCTGCTGTACCAAATGTGAGGCCGGTGATGCCTGAGGGGTGAGCAGCACATCTTTCAACCGACATGTCTTCAGGCCCTGCAGTGGCAGGGGATGTGGGGAATGCATGAGACACAGGCCCCTTGCTGGGCCCTCTTCAGTCATGTGATCTTGAACCTCTTTAGGCCGGCTGGCTGGCTGGCTGGCTGGCTGCCTGCCTGCCTTCCTTCCTTCCTTCCTTCCTTCCTTCCTTCCTTCCTTCCTTCCTTCCTTCTTCCATCCGTCATTCCCTCCCTCCCTCCCTCCTTCCCTCCTTCTCTCTCTCCCTCCCTCCCTCCCTCCTTCCCTTGTTCTGTCACCCAGGCTGGAGTGCAGTGATGCCATCTTGGCTCACTGCAACCTCCACCTCCCAGGTTCAAGCAATTCTTGTGCCTCAGCCTCCCGAGTAGCTGGGATTACAGGCACCCACTACCATGCCTGGCTAATTTTTTGTGTTTTTAGTAGATATGTGGTTTTGCCATGTTGGCCAGTCTAGTCTCGAACTCTTGGACTCAAGCAATCCCTCTGCCTTGGCCTCCCAAAGTACTGGGATTACAAGTGTAATTCACTGCCTGGTGAGCCACTGCGCTTGGCCTCTGGGCCTTAGTTTAATTTTTAATTTTTTTTTTTTTGAGACAGAGTTTCGCTCTTGTTGCCCAGGCTGGAGTGCAATGGCGCGATCTCGGCTCACCGCAACCTCCGCCTCCTGGGTTCAAGCAATTCTCCTGCCTCAGCCTCCTGAGTAACTGGGATTACAGGCACACGCCACATGCCCAGCTAATTTTTAGTATTTTTAGTAGAGACGGGGTTTCACCATGTTGACCGGGATGGTCTCTATCTCTTGACCTCGTGATCCACCCGCCTCGGCCTCCCAAAATGCTGGGATTACAGGCTTGAGCCACCGCGCCTGGCCTAATTTTTAATTTTTTAAAATTTTTTTATTGCGACAAGCTCTCAACTCTGTTACCCAGGCTGTAGTGCAGTGGGACAATCATAGCTCACTGTAATCGTGACCTGTTGGACTCAAGTGATCCTCCCACCTTAGCCTCCCAAGTAGCCGGGACTGTAGGCGAGCACTACCACACCCAGCTAATTCTTAATTTTTTTGTAGAGATACAGTCTCACTGTGTTGCCCAGGCTGGTCTCAAACTCCTGGGCTCAAGTGATCCTCCTGCCTCAGCCTCCCAAAGTGCTGGGATTAGAGGTATGAGCTGCTGCACCCAGCCAGCCTCAGTTTCTTCATCTGCACAATGGAATGGTGGTTGCGATGAACAAATGATTCAATATGGAAAATACATCACCGTGCCTCCACAAAGCAACAGTTAGTTGAGCTGGACATTCATGATTATGCCCACCTGAATCTTACTACTCAGATGGGATTAGGATTAGGGTGAACCTCAGTAAACTGTTTCTGTGGGTAAAAATGGGCCAACTAAGTAATGAGAATTTCATGAAAGGAACTATCAAGACTTCTTCAGACCCCTGAGACAAAAGCCACTGTGAAGATGAATTTTTACTGCAATGAAAATTTTGAAAATTCTGTTATGAGAATAAATTTCTAATAAGTAAAGATAATGCATCAGAACTTGGTACTCATCCTAGAGAAACTATAAACTCATGTTCACATTCTGGTGTCTGAGCACATAATTGTTGGGGGAAAATGTCAATATCAGATAAGGAAAATGCAATGATGAAGAAGGAAACTTGGAAAATGACCGATTCAGTAACTGCTCTGAAATGTCACAGAATGTCAGACACATGCCTGGGGAATGACAGTGAGCCTGTGTGGATGGAGTTTTGAGACTTTCTTTTTTCTTTTTTTTTTTCTGAGACGGAGTTTCACTCTTGTTACCCAGGCTGGAGTGCAATGGCGCGATCTCGGCTCACCGCAACCTCCGCCCCCTGGATTCAGGCAATTCTCCTGCCTCAGCCTCCTGAGTAACTGGGATTACAGGCACACGCCACCATGCCCAGCTAACTTTTGTATTTTTAGTAGAGACGGGGTTTCACCATGTTGACCAGGATGGTCTCGATCTCTTGACCTCGTGATCCGCCCACCTCGGCCTCCCAAAGTGCTGGGATTACAGGCTTGAGCCACCGCGCCCGGCGAGACTTTCTTTTTTTTTGAGATGGAGTTTCTCTCTTTTGCCCAGGCTAGAGTGAAGTGGCACGATCTCAGCTTACTGCAACCTCCGCCACCCGACCCCCATTCCCAGCGATCCTTGTGCCTCAGCCTCCTGAGTAGCTGGGATTATAGACACCTGCCACTACACCCAACTAACTTTTGTGTTTTTGATAGAGACAGGGTTTCACCACGTTGGCCAAACTAGTCTTGAACTCCTAACTTCAGATGATCCTCCCAAAGTACTAGGATTACAGGTCGGAGCCGCTGGGCCTGGCCCAGTTTTGAGATCTTTGAAGTTAATCATGAAGACTCTTTGTAGAAATGTAGAAAGCACAGAAAAGAACAAAGAGCACCCGAGTTCCCCATGGTGCTTGTGTCCAGCAATGCGACACCCAGGCCTGACTCCCAGCACTCAGGCGAGCCCTGCCCTTCAACCTGGAGCCTGTCTCCAGCCTCTGCAGGAGGTGTTGGCTGGGCGTCAAGTGCACCTGTCAGCTGAGGCAGGGATCTTTTCCAGGCCTCGTTCCAAGTCAGCAGGCTGGAGAGAGCCCCACTGCTGCCCCAGCAGCTCTGAGAGCTGAAATCCTCAGTTCCTTCTCCAGTTGGTCTGGCTTCATGTACAAGAGCACTCTCCACCGGCAAGAGCAGGCCAGGAGGGGTAGGTAGTGAGGCACCCTGGGGATTGACCCCCACCCCTACCCTGCTGGCTGCTGCCTGTTGGGGGTCAGCTGTAGGGGGCCTTCTGGCAGGTCCAGCTCCCTCACTGCAGAGCCGTCTTCATTCTGTTCATTCCGGGGGCTGGGCTTCGATTTCTGGCATCGTGCTTGCATGCTTCTGTCTTCTATCTGCACCTCTTTCTCCATTTTCCCTTTTTCTTCTCAAGTCTTCTCCCCCTTCTGTGTTCTTCTTTGTGGGCTGAGGCAAAGAGGGAGCAGACGGTAGCACCGGGAGGCTGGGGGCCTGTCAGGCTCTCTGCCAGGTTGGCTGTGCCCTTGCCTCCTGCCTCCCAGCTCCCAGGGGAGAGATGTCCTCGGGAGCTCCTCCAGGGCCACCCTCCTGCCTCAGGCTAGGAGCTGACCTTTTCTCTCGAAGGCTTATTGCTCCCAGGAGGAGGGAGGAACCCTGGGGAGTCAAGGTTGGCACCACTGGAAGCAGTGGGCCACCACTGCCTGTCACAGAGATCTCCCAGGTTCCAGCGCACTTTCCCAGATGGGCCCCGCTGACCGAGGCCCATCCATAGAAGGACAGCCCTGTCACTGTGGCCAGCCACAGCCACACGCTCCTGCTGTCTGCTCCCCTGAATGCAGTTACACATCCAGCTACGGGTCCTGCTTGAGCTGAGCTTGGCTGTGGTGGACAGACGGGACAGCTCCAGGAGAAAAGGCGAGGCAGCAGTTGCCTTTCCCGAACTTACAGGCAGAAGGCTGCTGCAGCAGGAGAAGCTGCCCAGGAAGCAGAGGCAGGTACCCTCACCCAAGAGCCATCTGCTCAGAGTCACCGCTCTGCACCTGGGACCCACCCTCCCCTGGGACCCTGGAGTGGGTTCTGGCCCTCTGGAGCTGAGTTGCAGCCCATAGGCCTTTCTCACCGGCCTCATGCCTGGGTTGGGCGAGTATCTTGTGAAGACCAACCCATCTCTTTCCACGCCTGTGCCCATTCAGCGTAGGTAGAAAGAGGCCGCAGGTGGTGCTTTAGAGCAGACTCGGACTGATGCCTGATGCTGAGGCAGCCTGGGGTAGAGGACCCGGTACTGGATCATGAGTCAGCTCTGCAGGATGGGGAGCCCTGGCAAGTCACCTCTAGATCCCGTGGTTCCTCACCAGTGTAGTCAGAATCAATCAGTGGGTCACTTGGGTCCTCTGGGCTTCCAGATTTTAACCATTTCTTTTAAGGTACCTCATTCCCCTTTTCCCTCTCCCCCTCACTAAAACTAACTATAGTATGTCTTATGTTCCTTATAAAGAAGCAGTATTTTGGGGATGAATTCATGTTGGAGACCAGCAATGGTGCTGGGCCCAGGGGATGGAAGGGAGCTGTGGGCTGGGGGAGCCACCTACCTCCCGTGCTGCCTCTTCCTGTCTGCACCTGGGGCCTCCCTCCTGGAGGTTCATCCACAGCACCATGGAGAAACCTTTCAGCGAAGCTACGTGGAAACACATGTCAGCTCTGAAACTATCCATAAATGTATTGTAAAACAGCGAGTATAATGTAACTTTTAAAAAGTGATTTTTTGTCATAAATTCTTTTTTTTTTTTTTTTTGAGATGGAGTCTTGCTCTGTCACCCAGGCTGCAGTGTGCAATGGGTCGATCTCAGCTCATTGCAACCTCCACCTCTCAGGTTCAAGCGATTCTCTTGCCTCAACCTCTAGTAGCTGGGTTTGCAGCTGCCGCCACCACACCCAGCTAATTTTTGTCTTTTTTACTTGAGATGGGGTTTCACCATGCTGGCCAGACTGGTCTCGAACTTGCAGCCTCAAGCGATCTGCCCACCTCAGCCTCCCAAAGTGCTGGGATTACAGGCGTGAGCTACTGTGCCCAGCCAAATAAGTTCTTGACTAAATTAATAAAAATAATTTTTCTCTTTTTTTTTTTGAGACCGAGTCTCCCTCTGTTGCCCAGGTTGGAGTGCAGTGGCATGATCTGGTGTTGCTGCAGTCTCTGTCTCCAAAGTTCAAACGGTTCTCATGCCTCAGCCTCCCATGTAGCTGGGACCACAGGCACACGCCACCACGCCTGGCTAAGTTTTGTGTTTTTGGTAGAAACAGGGGTCCACCCTGTTGACCAGGCTGATCTGGAGCTCCTGATCTCATGTGATCCACCCGCCTTGGCCTCCCAAAGTGCTGGGATTACAGGTGTGAGCCACCGCACCCGGTCCCCAGATAATTCTTTTTAAAATTAAAATTTCAGAAGGATTTTAATTTTTAAATAGCAAACTAAACAAACACTGCGTACCTTGTAAAGCTGAAAAAAAAAATCAACTGAAATGATTTGAATGACTCCTGGGAACCATGAGGTCTGAGCAAAGCCTGCCAGTGTGCTGCCACCCTGGAGTTTTGACGGTCCTTTCTGTGCAAATTGTTTTTCAGCTCCTCTGCCTCTGTTTTGAGAGATGAGGGGCATTATCAACTGATTCCATGTGTTTTCTTGTCAACTTCATTCTCTTCCCTTGTTTTCTACGCTTGAGGTCTTTCTAAACATACTTTTGCAGAGGCTGCCGTTTCCTGCTCTCCGGAGAATGCTCTGTAGAGGGAACGGAAGCTCTCTTCCTGTGTGTGCGTGCCTTCCTGTGTTCTAGCACTTGAGCGTGGAGAATCCTGGGGTGGGGACACCAGTGTCATCAGTGTCTCTGCTGTCATGCTTCTGTTGTGCGTGTTTGGAAAGCTTTCTAGCCGGAGGAGGCGTTATTCTTGCAGTAAATACTCGATTTATCGTCTGTCATTTCCACATGTTTTCTAAGGATTATAGAGGTGTGGAGGGGGCTTTCCATATGAGTGCTTCTAAGAGTTTGACTTGAAATTTTAGTGAAGCATATAACTCTCTAGGGACGTGTCAAGTTGCAAATGCTTCAGATTTCAGCTTTTTAAATGAACTGAGGTACACAATACTTCACCAGCAGGAATACTGGCGTGTATTTTGTTTTTAAAAATAGCTCAGTATGCCAGATTATAAACCAGGATCACAGACATGGTGGGAGCTGGGAGCTAGTTAATAGGACCGTGGCTGTGAGGTGTGTAGTCACTGGGGTATGGGTGCAGAGGGGGTGTGCTGCCATAGGCTCCATGTTTCCCTCCATCCCGCTCCCTAGAGCCTCAGCCCTACCCCTGCACTGGTGGGAGGCACTCCTGGTCCGTGAGGCTCAGCAACCTCCCCATCTTCCTGCCCCTTGCTCCAACCAGATCAAAGATACAGTGACAATGGACGCTGGGAGAGCCAACAAGGAGGTGGAAATCCTTCGAAAGCAGTGCAAGGCTCTGTGCCAGGAGCTGAAGGAAGCCCTCCAGGAGGCGGATGTGGCCAAGTGCCGGCGGGACTGGGCCTTCCAGGAGCGAGACAAGATCGTGGCCGAGCGTGATAGCATCCGGTATGGGGTGCCCTCGAGCTGGCATGGGCTCGTGTCTCCCCAAGATCGGGGATGTACTAGGGTCTGTTGGGAGGGTCACAATCATTTGCTGTGTGTCCAGGTAAGGTGGGAGGATCCTGGGCTCTTCCTTTCTCACCCCTAGATGATTCCCCAGCCTTGTCTCTTAGTTTTAGAATTTTCCATTATGTTTCTCCCTCCCATCTCACTTAGCCCTAGATGTCCCAAGTGTGTGCTGTGTTCACATGAGACCCCTGTGAAGGGGCAGGCTGGCCTCTTTTATTTGAGGGCTTCTGATGAGAAGAACACATCCAAAATGCAGCCTTTCAGCAGTATTCACCAGGCACCTCCTATGTACCAGGGTCTTAGATCCCTGAAACAAGGAGACCTTAGGAGAGGCTTGGTCCAGCAGGGCAGTGAGGGAGGAAGATGCGTTAACTGTGAGCTCCAGGGCTGTTGGGGGCATGCAGGGCTCCCTGGGGTGTGGGAGGTCTCCCCAGAGAGCATTGCATTTGAGCTAGAACTGGAAGCACGAGTGAGGTTTTTCTAGGTGGAAAAGGGGGAAGCGCATTGTAGATGGAGGTGACCTGTGGAGTGTGCTGAGGGCAGGGACCAGTCATGGGGAGGGCAGGTTGGCGAAATTCCCAAGGGCAGATGTAGAGGCCTTGAAAGGGAAGCCAAGCAGCGTGGACTTGATCCTTGGCTGGGAAAGAACAAGGAGGGGCTGTGGTGGTGGTGGTGGTGGTGTTTGGGGTGGGGAAAGATAGTGACTTGGTATTTGGGAGGTTTCCAAAAGATTCCTTGTGGTTGGTCAGGGGAGAGACCAATGTCTCTGGGGGTTGGTCAGGACATGAGGATGGCCAGATGTGGATGGTGAGGCCCTGCCAGTGGAGAGCACAGCTAAGTGCCAGTGTAAGGGAAGGGAGGCCCAGAGGCTGCTCTCTGTCTGCTTCTGATCATACCCCTTCCACGGTGGTCTCCAGAGGGCAGTCCTTAGCCAGGCTATGAGTAAGGTTGGGGGAGATTTGGGGTTGTGGAGAGGTGGGAACTAGCCCTCTGGGTATATCCTTTTCTGGAGGAAAAGGATAGAGACTTTTCAGAGCCCAGGCCCCTTCACAGCTAGGTCATCTGTTCCCACTTCCTTGGGATCCTCTTTCATAGTCTTGCCAAGCTTGTATTTCGCACCTGCACAGATCTCAGAGACAGAAATGCATGAGGACTGGCTGCTCTCCGAAGGGGCTCCCGTTCTAGTTGCTCTAGAAAGCCCTGCCTGTGGGTAGATGAGACATGTGATAGTGCTAGAGCACAGGCCTGCAGGCAGGCAGGGGAGCTTCCTGCAGAGGAAAGTTACCCCCTGACCCCCAAAGCTGCTGTTAGAACAGTAAGAGTGTGCAGAGAGTAGTCCTTAACTCCAGGGACCTTGAGGGTGAAACGGGGCATTGGGAACCTGACACTGTTGCCAAGTGGCTGTGGGGGTGTCTCTTCCCTGCCCAGGTCCTCCACATTCCCTCTGTCATGCACTGGGGCTGGCCTTGTTGGTCTTACCCCAGACTCCCAAGTGGTCCTGTGCATCTGGGGTTGGGGCCGGTGCTGGCAGGTGTTTGGAGTGGGAAAGGCAGGCCATCCGCTGCAGAACAGAACCCCCCTTCCCCCTGCCCCTTGAGGTGACCTTGTTCTCTGGTTCTTCCACCAGGACACTGTGTGACAACCTGAGGCGGGAGCGGGACCGTGCAGTGAGCGAGCTGGCTGAGGCCCTTCGCAGCCTGGATGACACCCGCAAGCAGAAGAATGACGTCAGCCGCGAGCTGAAGGAACTCAAGTAGGCTTGGGCGGGCACCTGCTGGAGTGGGTGTGCATCTGGGAGCCCGGGCCCCTCTCCCTTCAGGGCAAGACAATGATGAGTGCATTGACCGGGGCCTCATCATTGTGTCGAGCTGGCCGTCTGCCCCTACTTCAGTCTGCCTTACTCTGTCAGTCTGTAGAATGGGTTCGAATGTCATCTCCTTGTTGAATTAATTAGAAATTCTTAGACACAGGGCACTAGGAAAGGGGGGCCCTGTTCCCAGGCAGTCCATTTGGGGCAGGCATGTGTGTGTTTTCTATTAATTCCCCTACTCATGGCACTCGCTCGCTCACTGAGTGAGATTTTTCAAGTACCTGCTCTGTATGGGCCAGCTTCCATTAGAAGCATTGGAGAAATGGCACTGACGAGCATACCAAGTCCCTTTCCTCATGGGCTTACGGTGCACAGGAAAAGACACAGACCAAGATCGGGTCCATCTAAGAGACAAGTATGTAAATGAGTAAAATGGAGACAGATTGTGATTTAGAGTTTTAAAGGTAGTTGCAGCCCCCATCCAGCAGTCTGTTTTGCCTGTGTTATTTGGATGTCCATTTAGAAGACTGTTGGGGGTGTGAGACATCTTCCCTTCGGTTACAGCAGCTTCCCAGGGTGTCATTTAAATACTCAGCGGCCTTTAGTAGTGCACTGAAATACAAAGATCAGGGTTTAAGCAGAGAAATTGGCAGATCCCAGCAGGCCATGCTCTAGAACCCAAATCTAGTTGCAAAGTAGTGGCTCTGTGTGTGTGTGACATTTCCCTCGCTGTTAGTGTGGTGAGGGGGCAGTAAGGAACTTGTGTGCGAGTGCAAATGTGCAAGCCTTACACACTCAAGCAATGCCTTTCAGAAGGGAGTGACAGCTTCTCTTCTTTCCCATTCAGTAAAACTCCTAATAAGACAAAGACCTCCATTTATTCTTTTCTTTTTCTTTTTTTAAAAGAAAGAAAAAAAAAAAAAGAGAAATTTAAAAAAAAAAATGAAGGAGAGGAAGAGGAAGAGGGGTAGAGAACAGGAGTGTTGCTTTATTGCCCAGGCTAGAATGCAGTCTAAAAATGGGTGTTAAAAACCTCTTTTATACCAATAATTGTACTTAATAATGGAGACAGGAAAAAATGAGGGAAGAAAATTAACAAACAAGCAGCCAACCAATATTTCATTTAAACCTGTAAGTAGGTGTGATGTGGTACTGATAAGAGTGTATATTTTGTGTATTTAAAGTGGAGAGTTCTAAAAATGTTTATTAAGTTTGCTTGTTCCAGATCTGAGTTCAAGTCCTGGATATCCTTGTTAATTTTTTGTCTCGTTGATCTGTCTAATATTGATGTTGAAGTGTCCCACTATTATCGTGTGGGAGTCTAAGTCTCTTTATAAGTCTTATGTATCTGGGTGTTCCTGTATTGGGTGCATATATATTTAGGATCGTTAGCTCTTCTTGTTGCATTGATCCTTTTACCGTTATGTAATGTCCTTCTTTGCCTCATTTGATCTTTGTTGCTTTAAAGTATGTTTCATCAGAAGTGAGAATTGCAACTCCTGCTTTTATTTATTTATTTATTTATTTTCGCTCTCCATGTGGTTGGTAAATCTTCCTCCATCCCTTTGTTTTGAGTCTTTGTGTGTCCTTGCATGTGAGATGGGTCTGGATGCAGCATACCGATAGGTTATTCTATAAAAACCCAGACTCTCTGGAGCTTGGGTGCTCTCTGGAATATTTTTGGGGCTAAGAGGCAAGGCAAGACTCTTCGCAGGGACCGTCTTGGGTCTAGCAATATGATAGAATCAAGGAGTTCTCTTTGAAGGAAAAGTCTAGAACCTCTGGGTCGTGAATGTGGGATGTTTTGCTTCTTGATCGGACGACAGTTGCCTGAAGCTTGTGCATTCAGCTTGTTGTGTTCATTTAGCATGTTCGTGTTTGTGCTTCCTGTCTGCTAAGTTCTCTAACTGGCAGGGTGCTGGTGAGGGAGTCTGTGTGGCTGCCCAGGAAGCCTCAGGCACTCTCTGGTGATGCCAGATGAGATGGGTGTGGGGAGCATTGAAGGCTGAGCTTGGGTTGCACTGGCCTGGGCAGGGGCTGGGGCAGCAATGGAAGACACTTGAGCTCTGCCCTGGAGGCTGAGTGATGCTCTAGAGCTGGCCAGTGAGAGCACAGCCTGGGCAAAGGTGTGGCTCTGGAACCTGTGTGCTGGAGCAGGAAACACAAGTAGGTCAGGAGCCCGGTGGGCAGCGTTCATGAGCTGGCAAGGCAGCCTGGGCCCAGATTTCAGGAAGGGTGTCACAGGCAAATCACCTGAGGATGTAACAAGGCTTCTGAGTCTGTCTTTCACATCCTCTTTACTGGGTTTTTCTCAGAACTAACATTTTTAATTTTGATAAAGTCAAATCTATCTTTTTTTTTTAAATACACAGCTTCACTCTGTTGCCCAAGCTGGAGTGCAGTGGTATGGTCTTGGCTCACTGCAACCTCTGCCTCCCAGGTCAGGTGATTCTTGTGCCTCAGCCTCCTGAGTAGATGGGATTACAGGTGCCTGCCACCACACCCAGCTAATTTTTGTATTTTTAGTAGACAGGGGTTTTGCCATGTTGGCCAGGTTGGTCTCGAACTCCTGGTCTCAAGTGATCCGCCCACCTTATCCTCCCAAAGTGCTGGGATTACGGGCATGAGCCATCGTGTCCAGTCATCAGTGAACATTTTTTTAAAATTGTAACAATGGCACTAAAGGAAATGTTAAGAACTACATCTTCATTCCTAATGTAACTATTTAAATGGTATTTCTGTTGCTTTTTCTGTCAGTTTGCATTTCAATTTGTGATATAGTTGGCATTAACTTTTATCCGAGGTTAAGGGGTTTGGGTTGAGACTCATTCTTTTGGCCATGGATGTGCAGTCACTCCAGCTTCATTAGTTGGAGGCTGTCCTTCCTCTGTTGACTTCTGTACCTTTGGTAACCTGGGCTTTCCTAGGTTCCTTGTTCTGTTCTACAGACCTATGCGTCTGTCTCCCTGACAGCAGCACACAATCTTCATTGCTGTAGCTGTATACTAAGTCTTAAGTCTGGTAGAGAATTTCCTCCCACTTTGGTCATTTTCAAAATGGTTTTAACGATTCTGATGCCTTTTTGTATACATTTTAGAATAGCCATCTCTATCTACAAAAAATCTTGTTGGCGTTTTGATTTTTTTTTTTTTAATTTTTTATTTTTTGAGATAGAGGTCTTGTGGTGTGAGCTCCGCTCACTGCAGCCTCCACCTCCGGGTTCAAGTGATTCTCCTGCCTCAGCCTCCCGAGTAGCTGGGGTTACAGGCACACACCACCATGCCCAGCTGGCATTTTGATTTTAATTGTGTTAAACTCCTAGATAAATTCGGGGATAATTTGTCTTTTTTAAAAAAAATTGCTATGAAAACTTACAGATATCCCAGAAGCCTTGACTTTACTCCCTAGGTTATTGGGAAACAAGGGGGAAAGGAGCCGGTTTTAGCTCTCGCGAATGGCCTGCCTCAGTTCAGAGTTGTTCGGCAGTGGGAGGTTTCACCTCCCAAAGGGCTGTCACCATGGCTGTCTCTGTTCACAGAGAGCAGATGGAATCCCAGTTGGAAAAAGAGGCCCGGTTCCGGCAGCTGATGGCCCACAGCTCCCACGACTCGGCCATTGACACGGATTCCATGGAGTGGGAAACGGAAGTTGTAGAGTTTGAGAGGGAGACGGTAAGCTGCCTCTGATGGTTCTTCTCCCGCTCTCCTTGACGTGAAAACCTTGGATGAGGGAGGACATGATGGCCCTCTTGCAGTATCCCTCAGTTCCACCGCTCCGAGTTTGGAGGCTCTCCTTTTCCCCACCAGGAGTGCAAAGGCATCCTTTCCCAGCAGCTGTTCAGGCTGGGTTGCAGCCGGGGAAGGGCACGGTGCTGGGGGGAAGCTGACAGGGATGTCTGTCTGTAGTGGCCAGAAATGGCAAGTTGCAGGTACTCACAGGTTTCCATCCTGGGGATGGAGTGTCTCATCAGATGAAGTGAAGGGATGGTCCCCCACATTGGAGTGTGCAGCTTGGGGCTGAAGAGCCAACAGTCTCTGTCACTGCTTTGTGAAGTACGCTGCTACTGCTGCTGTTTTTACAGGAGGATATTGACTTGAAGGCACTGGGGTTTGATATGGCAGAAGGTGTGAATGAGCCTTGTTTTCCGGGGGACTGCGGCATATTTGTCACTAAAGTGGACAAAGGAAGCATTGCTGATGGCCGTTTAAGGTAAGAGTTGAGGCGCAGGCTCTGGAGCCAAGCTGGGGCCCTTCTCCCGAGAACAGAGGACCCCAAGAGAGCCAGGTAGCACTTAGGTGAACATTTCCAGCCTCAGACTCACAGGCCTGCAGTCTCACCAGCTAATACTGCTCAATAAAGAAACTGCTTCTCAGTTGCCTCTGAATCTGATTGTTCTCCAGTTACCAGGTGCTGTCTTTTGCTCCTTTGGATGGGAAAGTGCTCGGGGGATATGTGTGAGAGCCCAGGACGTGCATGGCTTGCTCATTCAGTAAAATAGTCATGATGATAAAATGTTAGCTAACACTTACACAGTGCTATTTGCTGAGCGCTGGTTTAAGCACTTTATATAAATGGATTGATTAATCTTTACAACCCTACAAGATTGGTGTGATTATTGCCCCCATTATACATTTGAGGACACTGAAGCCTGGAGGGGCTAGTTCATACAGCTAATAAGTGGTAGAGCCAGGCTTTGAACCCAGGCTGTCTAACCTCAGCATCTGCAGATTTCACCACTCTGCACTCATGGAAGAGGAAGATTTTCTGAGCGTGTATGTGGGGCACTCACTTTTTGGCAGTCAGTCCCCTGAATGGGAGCAGTGGGCGTCTAACCGCTAGTCCCCAGCCTGTGTGGGTGCTGACCTGGCTGTGTCCCTTCTCAGGGTCAATGACTGGCTGCTGCGAATCAACGATGTGGACCTCATCAACAAGGACAAGAAGCAGGCCATCAAGGCGCTCCTCAATGGGGAGGGGGCCATCAACATGGTTGTGCGGAGGAGGAAGTCCCTGGGTGGGAAGGTGGTCACGCCACTGCACATCAACCTCAGTGGACAGAAAGGTAGTGCGCCTGTGGACATGGCAGAGTTCCTCACGTGGCAGACGCCCTTTTTTTGGGTCCCCGTAAGGGACAGGGCCCAGAGTTGTCCCTTAGAGCATCTCATTCACAGGGATGAGGGGCCGATGCCATTTAAATGTAGCCCATGTGCTTTCCTGGCAGGAGGTTGTCTGGGTCCTGAGTCTTGCTTTCTGAGTATTTGATTCATTAGGGCAGATGTGACTGAGCCCCGCCCCACCCCCGATTGATTGGACCAGGGCAGGGTGTGGGGGTAGACAGGGCGCAGTCTGCTGACCGCCTTTTTTGTAAGAAGATGGTAACAAAGATGAGGTAGGGCAACCGGGGCTGGGCAGCGAGGCCAGGGGCTATCCAGTGACCTCCTGTGGCTTGCAGACAGCGGCATCAGTCTGGAGAATGGAGTGTACGCTGCTGCTGTGCTGCCTGGAAGCCCTGCCGCCAAAGAAGGGTCCCTTGCTGTGGGAGACAGGATTGTTGCGGTAAGTCTCAAGGTGGGAGCCAAGGCCATCTGCTGTGCATAGACAGTTTACATTTGTGAGGTTTGAGCAAGAAATAATGAGCAAAGTTTTTATATTCTCCTTGTTCTGGGCATTGTAGCATGTGAACATTTAAAAATAGGTTTCGTGGTGGTATATTTCTATTTACTGTAGAAAATTAGGAAATAAAGAAAAGGTCTAGGAGGGAAATAAGAATCACTTGTATTGCCACCACCTGTAAATAACCTTTCTCCATCTTACTCTGTTGCCCAAGGTTGGAGTGCAGTGGTGCAATCCCGGCTTACTGCAACCTCCAGAGGTTTAAGAGGGAAATAAGAATCACTTGCAAAGGTTATCTACCAATTGTAGATAACATTGGTAGATAACCTTTATTAACTTTTTTTTTTTTTTTTTTTTTTTGAGATAGAGTCTCGCTCTGTCACCCAGGTTAGAGTGCAGTGGCACAATCCTGGCTCACTGCAACCTCTGCCTCCTGTGTTCAAGCAATTCTCCTGCCTCAGTCTCCTGAGTAGTTGGAATTACAGGCAGTGTGCCACCACACCTGGCTAATTTTGTACATTTAGTAGAGACAGGGTTTCACCTTGTTGGCCAGGCTGGTCTCGAACTCCCAACCTCAGGTGATTTCCCTGGCTTGGCCTCTCAAAGTGCTAGGATTACAGGCGTGAGCCACCTCGACCAGCTTTTATTAACATTTTAAATGTAGTTAGTTCTCTTATATTTAACGTTCTCATGAATGTTTATTAAGGACAATTTAGAAAATAGAAATTATTGTGCTGTGACTTTTAAACCCCCACCTTTTTTTTTTAAACTAACTGTAATACCTGTTTTTGACTTTGTTTGTTACCAAAGTAAGTCGTGTTTGTTGTAAAATAGCCAAGCAATACAAAATACGTAAAGTGAAAAGTGGCAGTCCCTCTCTTCCCCCTTTAATTCTGCTCCTGGAGATTAGCACTGCCCCCATTTGGAAGATAAGCACCCAGCCCAAACCATAAGTGCCCCTAGAAATCTATCTATGTATAGTTTTGCTATTTATGTACAATAATGAGATCTGCAATTTGCATCCTATTTTGTTGATATCTTTCTAAGTCCAGCCTGGCTAATGTTACCCACCTCATGATATTCTATTGTTTGATTACATATAGTTTAAATTATCCCCCTATTGATGGACATTGAAGTTGTTTTCAGGGTCAGCAGTTGCAAACAGTCCTGCAGTGAGCTGTACCTGTGTGCACAGCCACTCTGGAGACACCTAATGGTATCTCTGGGGCTAAGCTACAAATGCTGTGAGACTACTGAATCATAGGACACACAAATTTAATACTTTTAACTAACCTTTTAAAATAAAAAATGCCAGCGGGGTACGGCAGCCCACGCCTGTAATCTCAGCACCTTGGGAGGCCAAGGCAGGTGGATCACCTGCGGTCAGGAGTTCTAGACCAGCCTGGCCAACATGGTGATACCCTGTCTCTACTAAAAATACAAAAATTAGCTGGGCATGGTGGTGGGCACCTGTAATCCCAGCTTCTTAGGAGGGTGAGACAGGAGATTGGCTTGAACCTAGGAGGCGGAGGTTGCAGTGAGTCAAGATCACACCATTGCACTCCAGCCTGGGCCACAGAGCAAGACTCCTGTCTCAAAATACTTAAATAAAAAATAAAATACATAAATAAAAAATACATAATACATAAATAAAAATACATAATCAAAATAATATATAATACATAAATAAAAATACATAATCAAAATAATATACATAAATAAAAAATGAAACTGAAAATGCCACTTTTTCATGGCATATATACAAAATTCCAATAATACAAAAGGCAAATAGTGACAATAACTCTTCCTCTGGCCAGACCCCTTGCCTACTACTTCCCACCCTGATGGCGATCACTGTTAACAGTTTATTACATTATGTCCTAGAAACCTTCAAAACATGGACATCTCACACGTTTTGGGGAGGTTGGGGTAACCTGGATGGGATTATAATATACTCAGTTGCTCATCTTGCTTTTTGTTTTTATTTTTCTTATCGTTTTTTAAGACAGAGTATCGCTTTGCCACCCAGGCTGGAGTGCAATGGTGCGATCTCAGCTCACTGTAGCCTCCGCTTCCCAGGATCAAGCCATTCTCCTGCTTCAGCCTCCCAAGTAGCTGGGATTATAGGCATTCGCCACCACACCCAGCTAATTTTTGTAATTTTAGTAGAGATGGGGTTTCACCATGTTGGCCATGGCTGATTTCAAACTCCTGACTGCAGGTGATCGCCTGCCTTGGCCTCTCAAAGTGCTGGGATTACTGGTGTGAGCCACCACACCCAGCTAGATTTTAGCAGCATGTCCCGCAGGTCCTTTCGTATTCATATCTTTTTTATTTTTGTTTGAGATAGAGTCTCACTCTGTTGCCCAGGCTGGAATGCAGTGGGACGATCTTGGCTCACTGCAACCTCTGCCTCCCAGGTCCAAGCAATTCTCCTGCCTCAGCCACCTGAGCAGCTGGGATTACAGACGTGTGCCAGCACACCCTGCTAATTTTGTTGTATTTTTAGTAGAGACAGGGTTTCACCATGTTGCCCAGGCTGGTCTTGTACTCCTGACCTCAGATGATCTGCCCTCAGCCTCCCAAAGTGCTGGGATTACAGGCGTCAGCCACCACGCCCAGCCTGTATTCACATCTTTAGCTCTGGGTCATTTCCATAACTGCATGTCATTCCTTAGTGGCAGCAGCCCAGCTGTTGACCAGTCCCTCCCAAGGGATAGTCTGGGCATCTGTACCTTTACTTACATCTGTGTCATGCTTGCATGGCCACTGGCATGCCACCTCATAGAGACCCAGGCGTGTGCCCTGGGGTACATTCCTGGGGTTGGGGTTTGCTGGGCCAGAGGGCATGAATGTTTTACATCCAATGAGATCTTCCTCCTGTGCTCCGAAAAGATCATGGCCTTTTCAGTCCTTCCTGCAGTGTGTGTGGAGGGGAACTCACTGCCTCACATCTTTGCCAGTGTTTTTCAGATGGCTGTGCTCTCATGGTCAGGACTGTGGGCGAAGTGCCAGCTCCACGTAGCCATACTACGCCTTGGGGTCATGGGATCCGTGAGAACAGGGTGGGGATTTACAGAGAGCAGTGGGGGCAGAGTGGAAAAGCAATATGGCCACTATGAAAAAATTTTTAAATGGGTATATAAGGAAGAAAACACAAATTAATGTACTACTTGGAGATAATCACTCTGCAGATATTTTAAAAAGAAAACTTGACTTTAAAATGATTATAGATGATAGGAAGCTGCAGAGATACTAAAGGGGGGTCCCATGTACTCTTCTCCCTACTTCCCCTCATGGTTGCACGTTGCGTAAGTGTAATGTCAAAGCCAGCATATTGACATTGGCTCTGTGTGTGTGTGTGTGTTTGTGTGGTTTAACACATGTTGTTCTGTGTAACCACCACCACAGTGAAGATACATAGCTGTTCCATCAGCACTGAGGTCTCTGTCCCACTCCCCCTTTGTAGTCAGACCCCCTGCTCCCTTCCATCCCTACCCCTGGCAGCTGATTAGTTCTCCCTCTCTGTGATGTCATTTTGAGAATGTCACCGACATAGAATCATATAGCATGTGACCTCGGGAGCTTGGCTGTTTTCACTCTGCAGCGTGCCTGAGAGGTTCACCCAAGAGGCTGCGTGTGCTGGCCACTTGTCCTTTTCGTTGCTGAGCAGTGTTCTTCGGTGTGGGTATATTACAGTTTAGTCATTCACCTGTTGCACATAGACTTCTTAAGAAGGTCTGCACATAGCTGTGAGGGATATGGGCAGAGATTCTGGGATCAGGGTTGAGGGGTTCTTTGTGAACAACCACAGGACTATACTTCATGGGGTGCTTTCTCTATAAGGCCTTTTCTGCCCATGGTCTTGTTTTTAGTCCCCTGCTCTCCCAAGGTGTATGCATGCATTTATCTTCCATTTCCTGTGAAGGCAAGGAGCTGGGAAGTCCTGTACCATGTGTCAGGGCACAGCAGGGCCAAGGTGTTCCCCACGGTCCTCAGTGTTCTGGTCCCAGAAGGACATGCTCCTCCCCTAGCCTGCTGTGAAGGCTTTTGTATTCCTCTACCTTAGAAGCCCCTTGCCCAGATTCTTTGGGCCTCACTAGGAGGACCTCTAACCTTTGCCAACTCCTGACTTTGGCACCTGCATTTGGTGACTGTCTAGCACAGGAGGGCAGGTGGGCAGAGGCCCCGACCTGATAGGCCTGAGGCTGCTCTGCTGGTGGCCTGACATGCTCTCTGTCCTGCCCTAGATCAATGGCATTGCACTGGACAACAAGTCTCTGAATGAATGTGAATCTCTGCTGCGGAGCTGCCAGGACTCCCTGACCCTGTCCCTCCTGAAGGTAAGGGCTGCATGTGCCTCTGCTCTGATGGTCGGGAGTGTCGGCAAAGCCCCGACTCCACATAGTCAACGCTACTCCACAGGGATCCTTGAGAACAGGATGGAGATTTACAGAGTGCAGTGGGGGGCAGGAACCCTGACTGGATGCTAGCCTGTAATTAAAAAAACAGCAATCAAGGCCCATGTTGGGCACAGTTGGGTACATTTGAATCTGGACCGGATGATTAGATGATCTTAGAGAATTGTTGCCAATTTTCCTAGGTGTGATGATGGCACTGGGGTTGTTATACAGGAGAATGGCCTTATATGGGGAGGTACAAGCTAAAGTTGTTAGAAGTGATATGTTATGGCCAGGCGTGGTGGCTCATGCCTGTAATCCCAACACTTTGGGAGGTCAAGGCAGTCGGATCACTTGAGTCCAGCAACACAGTGACACCCAGCCTCTACAGAAAATACAAAAACCCCGGGAGGTTGAGGTGGCAGTGAGCTGTGATCGTGCCCTTGCACTCCAGCCTGGGTGACCGAGTGAGACCCTGTCTCAAAGATGAAAGGAAGGGGCCAGGCACTGTGGCTCATGCCTGTAATCCCAGCACTTTGGGAGGCTGAGGCAGGCGGATCACCTAAGGTCAGGAGTTCAAGACTAGCCTGACCAACATGGAGAGAAACCCCATCTCTACTAAAAATACAAAAATAGAAAAATAGGTGTGATGGCACACACCCGCAATCCCAGCTGCTCGAGAGGCTGAGGTAGGAGAATCGCTTGAACCTGGGAGGCGGAGGTTGCGGTGAGCTGAGATCGCGCCACTGCACTGCAGCCTGGGCAACAAAAGTAAAACTCCGTCTCAAAAAAAAAAAAGAAAAAAAAAAAAAGGAAAAAGGGAGGGAGGGAGGGAGGAAAAGGAAGGGGAGTGACATGTTATGATATTTGTAACTTGCTTTCCAGTGTTCTGCGGTATTGTTGTGGATATAGACAGTAAAGACAATTTAGTAAAATACTATTGAATCTAGATGGTACATTTATGGACATTTATTGTACTTTTCTACATATATGAAAAGATTAATCATAGGAAGTTAGAAAAATAGACCCAATTTAGAAAACATCTCTTAATGCAATGGGCTGGGCCTATTTTTTCTAACTTTCTATTAAGAGATGTTTTCTAAGTTAGCTATTTTTAAATTAATTGACTTTTATGGAAGCAGTTTTATGTTGACAGAAAAGTTGGGCTGAATCAGAGTTCTTAGTACTCTCTCGGCCATCCCACCACCACCATTCCCACTCCTGGCCCCAAGTTCCCCTAGTTTTGACATTTTGCATTAGTGTAGTTAGTACATACATTACAACTAGTGAGCCAATATGATGCATTATGATTAACTCTAATGCTCAGTTTACACTGAGGTTCAGTCTTGGTGGCGTATTTTCTGTGAGTTTTGATGCATGTGTGATGACATGTGCCACCATTATAGTATCATATACAGTAGTTTCACTGCCCTAAAAATTCCACGTGCTCCCCATGTTTGTCCAAGCCCCTGGCAACAACTAATCCTTTTACTATCTCCAAGCTTTTGTGTTTTCCAGAATGCCATAGAGTTGGAATCACAGGGTGTATAGAATGGCTTCTTCACTTACTAATATACACTTAAGATTCCTTCACATCATTTTAGTTGGTTTTAGTGCTAATTAATATTCCATTGTCTGAGTGTACCTGAGATGTATTTTTAACAATGAATTTTTACTTTTATATTTATATATATTTTTAAAATATGCAGGACATTGTGCAGGTGATTTTCTTTGTGTGTGTGTGTGACAGTCTCACTCTGCCACCCAGGCTGGAGTGCAGTGGTGTGGTATCAGCTCACTGCAACCTCTACCTCCCAGGTTTGAGCAATTCTGCCTCAGCCTCCCAAATAGCTGGGACTATAGGCACCCGCCACCATGCCCGGCTCATTTTTGTATTTTTATTAGAGACGGGGTTTCACCATACAGGTTAGGCTCACCATGTAATCCACCTACCTCAGCCTCCCAAAGTGCTGGGATTACAGGTGTGAGCCACTGTGCCTGATTTCAGAAAGGTTTCAAAGTTAAGGAAACTTCGACTCTTCTTTAAGTTCAGAGTGACCAGGGCCATGAGAAAACTTCTCCATTAGGGACAAGCGTGTGTGTGTGTGTGTGTGTGTGTGTGTGTGTGTGTGTGTGTGTGTCTTTTTTAGGGGGCAGGTGGCCCATTCCTGACCATTGCTTTACCTGTGGAGACAGTTTTCAGTGGCAGCTCCAAGTCCTGCCATCTCACCTTCTCTTTCTCACTCCTCTGCAATCCCTACCTAGGTGTTCCCTCAGAGCTCCTCGTGGAGTGGCCAGAACATTTTTGAAAATATCAAAGACTCTGATAAGATGCTGAGTTTTCGAGCCCATGGCCCGGAGGTCCAGGCTCATAATAAACGGAACTTGATACAGCACAATAACTCCACGCAGACAGACATCTTCTATGCGGACAGGCTGGAAGACAGGAAGGAGCCAGGCCCCCCAGGAGGCAGCAGCTCCTTTCTGCACAAGCCATTCCCAGGGGGACCCTTGCAGGTCTGCCCCCAGGCCTGTCCCAGTGCCTCTGAGCGTAGCCTGAGCTCCTTCCGCTCAGATGCCTCTGGGGACCGTGGCTTTGGGCTGGTGGATGTGCGTAGCCGGCGGCCACTGCTGCCCTTTGAGACAGAGGTGGGCCCCTGTGGGGTGGGGGAGGCCCCCCTGGACAAGGCGGACTCTGAAGGCTCCAACAGCGGTGGGACCTGGCCCAAGGCCGTGCTCAGCTCCACGGCAGCGCCTGAGAAACTCTCCGTTTATAAGAAGCCAAAGCAAAGAAAGTCCATCTTTGACCCTAACACTTTCAAATGCCCCCAGACACCCCCCAAAATAGACTACCTGCTTCCAGGCTCTGGGCCTGCTCACTCTCCCCAGCCCTCCAAGAGGGTGGGGCCTCTGACACCCCCAAAACCTCCCAGGAGGAGCGACTCCATTAAGTTCCAGCACAGGCTGGAGACCAGCTCTGAGTCAGAGGCCACTCTGGTGGGCAGCTCCCCATCCACAAGCCCCCCGAGTGCCCTGCCCCCCGACGGGGGCCCTGGGGAGCCCATGCACGCATCACCCCCTCGCAAGGCCAGGGTCCGCATCGCTTCCAGCTACTACCCCGAAGGAGACGGAGACTCCTCCTTCCTGCCAGCCAAGAAGTCCTGTGATGAGGACCTCACCTCCCAGAAGGTGGACGAACTAGGGCAGAAGCGTCGCCGGCCAAAGTCTGCTCCCAGTTTTCGGCCTAAGCTCGCTCCAGTAGTGATTCCTGCTCAGTTCCTGGAGGTAGAGCTGAGCCCCAGGGTGTGGTGAGGGGAAGCCTGGAGTGGGGCAGTTGGCTGAGGGAGGGCTACTGATTGGCCCTGCACCAGTGTCCCCAGGCTCCTGTTTAACCTGGAGCCTTTGCTGTTGGAGTTGAGGAAGAGGAAGGGGTAGCAGGGGGGTGCCTGTAGGAAGTGGGCCAGCTAGGAGGTAGGTACGTGGCGTGGGAGTGTGATGCCAGGAGGGAAACGCTTTCTTGGGCATAGCATTTGGTTTGCTTTTTCAAAGAAGAAGCTTTTGAACTTGTACAATCAAACCTAGGGCGTGGACTTGCCTTGAAGGGCTAGGGAGATGAGGTGGCACGTGTGAAACTGAGTGGGCAGCGGGACAGCCTGACTGTGTGTGCTGTCATCATTTCCAGAAGGGTGAGATTCCTGGGGACTGCAGACAGCATCCCAGGCACCAGTCCACACTGCTCACTGGGGACAGAGAGCTTCCCACAGCCCTGTGCATGGGGCAGAGTTGTACGTGCCTGATGCACGTGTGCATTCTCACCCTTTACATGATCTCTACGTGAAAGAACAGATTCATTTTCTACAGTTTTCTTCTGAAGGGTCTGTAAAGCTGCTCCCTTGCAGCCGTGTAAGGCAACATCAATGGGCAAGACTTCTTTCCAGCTGTCTCCTCCTGTGCCCCAGTGGGAGGAGCTGGTTTCTGGGGGACAGAAACTGGCTTGTAGAGGTGCCCAAGCGCTCCACTGTTTTTGTTTTTTTCAAGATGGAGTCTCACTCTGTCGCTCAGGCTGGAGTACAGTGGTGCAGTCTTGGCCCACTGCAACTTCTGCCTCCCAAGCTCAAACGATTCTCCTTCCTCAGCCTCCTGAGTAGCTGGGATTACAGAGATCCATCACCATGCCCAGCTAATTTTTGTATTTTTAGTAAAGACGGTGTTTTGCCATGTTGGCCAGGGTGGTCTTGAACTCCTGAGCTCAATTGATCTGCCCGCCTTGGCCTCTTACAGTGCTGGGATTACAGGTATGAGCCACTGCACCTGGCCGCTCTTTCTAGCAGACACTCTTGCCCTTGCTTTTGCAGGAACAGAAGTGCGTCCCGGTCAGTGGAGAACTCTCCCCGGATCTCCAGGAGTGGGCCCCTTACTCACCCGGGCATTCCAGCCGGCACAACAATCCCCCGCTGTACCCTAGCAGGCCGTCTGTGGGTGAGTCAGTGGGCCAGGGACTGGGACTGAGGATCGGTGTAGACTCGGGCTGCCTAGTCTCCAGGGAGAGGGGAGGCAGCATTTCAGAGAGCTGCCATGTGTTTTCAGCCCTGAGGTCCAGAGAACTGGGAAATGCTGCCCTGGGATGGTTTGTCTTATAGCCATGACATGTCTTAGCTTGTCAAAGGGCTTTTTCCCCATAGCAACCTGGGACATAGGAATCATGAAAGAGACTTCCCCCTATTTTACAGGTGGAGACAGGCCAGGAGCCACAGCCACACATTGTGAATTGGTGGTTAAAACTCATCTCCCACGTCCTTTTCCCAAAAGACTATGGCTGCTTCCTAGGATACAGGGAAAAGGCTTGCATAAGTCCAGGGCTGGCTGGGTGCTTTGGGGTGACTTTTCTCACCAAGCCCATTTCTAGGCACTGTTCCCCGGAGTGTGACCCCCAGCACCACCATGAGCTCCATCCTGCGGAACCCCATCTACACCGTGCGCAGCCACAGGGTCGGCCCTTGCAGCTCTCCACCTGCGGCCCGAGATGCCGGCCCCCAGGGTTTGCATCCCAGGTATGTAAAGGCACCCTGTGCTTCTCTGTACCCCAGCTTCCCAAGCCTGCCTGGACGTCGAACCACAGGTGTGTAAAGAGGCTCATCAGTGGAGGAGCTTCCTTACCTGGCTGGGAGGGGCTGGCTAGAGCAACTCGGGGGAAAGGGAGCCTTAGGGCTGCTTTCTTAACTCATCAGCACAAGGTTTCAAAAGGTACTGAAAGGACAGTAGTGATAGCAGCTGATATTTGAGTGCCTGTGTCCCAGGCATTGTGCTCAGACCTTTATGAATATCAATTCACCGAATCAACAGCAACCTCATGGGCTAAGTTCTATTACTCTCTGTCTTCAAGATGAGGATGGGCTGGCTCCAGGCCACTTTTACTCGTTCATTTGGCAGATTTTTATTGAGCTCCTACTACATGTCTTGGTCTACCCTAATTATAAGAAGATGCAATGCTGAACTAAACAGATTCGCTTCTGGCTCATGTGGTGTGGTGTGTTCAAATGTGGGAGGCAGACAGAAAACAAATTAATAGAGTGATGTCAGATGGTTCTGAGAGGCTCTGAAGGCAGTCAAACAGGGTGACAGGCTGGGCTATGACTTGGAAGAGGGTGGTAAGTGAGCGTGGGTGGTTCAAGAAGGGCCCTGAGGCAGAGGGGATGCTGCTGTGACCAGAAGGATGAAAGAGGCCAGCTTCACAAGACCTAGGCTGGAACCTCCAGGGAGAAGGGCCATTGGTGCCAAGGCCAGGGTTCCCAGGCACCATGGTGGGAGCTTGGCAAAGGGGCAGTGAGTCAGGAAGAGGTCTGAGGTCACAGGGCACAAACCCTCTGGGACCTGCAGCCGTAGTAAAGAGTTTGGATTTTATTCTAAGGACAGTGGAGACCACCAGAGAGTTTAAGCATGGAAGAGATGTCATCTCATTACACAGCCAGAAAAAGATGCTGCTGAGGCCTGACCTCAGGGCAGCCTGACGTGGGCAATCCCTGCTCTGCCCTCCGGTTTCCTAGGCACTCTGTCCCGATTGAGGCACGTAGGTCTCCTCCCCAGAGTCCTCCATGCCCATCTTGTCCCTCCTTACCCACCTCCTGGGAGGAGAGGTTCCCCCTCCCGGGACCCACCCAGGTTGCAGAGCCTGTGTTTTTTATTGCTTCCTCCTAGTGAGCCTGATCCTGGCCCTGTGGCTGGAGTGGGTGTGATACCGCCTGTCCCACGCCTGTGGCCTTTTCTACTGCTTGAAGGTCCTTGGTGGACGCCACCTCCGGGAGTGGCTGAGGGCAGCCTGGTATCCTCGGCTGATATTCAGTGGCTCCTGGGCCTCCCTTCTGCCCACTTGAGAACTTGGCTGGTCTGTTTCTCCCCAGAGATGTGAATGGTCACATCTGTTCTTGGTCTTCCTCCTGAACTCCTCACCTTTTGTTTTTACACAGTGTCCAGCACCAGGGACGCCTGAGCCTGGACCTGAGCCACAGGGCCTGCAGCGACTACTCCGAGATGAGAGCCACCCACGGGTCCAACTCACTGCCCTCCAGCGCCCGCCTAGGTAACTGCGTCATTCGGATTTGGTGCTGCAGCGGGTGCCAAAGTTTTCATCTCTGCCTGCATCCTAATGCCCAGATCTGCGGGTGGGCTCTCCATACGAGCTCCTATCTCCTCCTGGGACTGAGCTCAGTTCCCTCTGGGGAGGGCTGCTGCCTTCGTGGGCCAGCCATGCCTATACTGCTGTCAGAGCCATTGCTTTCACCTTCTGCTTTCTTCAGGGGCTGTATACATGGTCATTTAGGCGACCCCTCAGCTAGGAGCCTTGCTCCCTGTGCCTGAGGTTGTCAGTCTCATTCTGGGCTATTTTGTATGGCTGTTTATACATCTTTGTGTGGAAAGTGAACCCCAGAGTAGAGTCGGACAGGTAGCCCATGGAGGTCTTAGGGGAGCTCTGGTGCTGGGGAGAAGAGATGGAGCAGCTGCTATGTGACTTAGGATGCTCTTCCGGGGCTGGAAGTGAGACTTGTGTGCTCCTGTTCTGGAGCAGTCTGGGCCTGCACAGTTGATTGAGATAACTGTTAAGCATCTGCTTTTCTTGACTGTTCCACATCAGAGCTCCCTCAAGAATAACAGCAGGGCCCGGCTTTGTGTTTATCATCCTGAGTGGTAGCCTGGTGGCGAGGGAGGACGGGGTGGTGTTTAATGTCGAGGCCTGAAGTTTTGTTGCCTTACGGAACAATAGGTTCTTCGAGTAACTTGCAGTTCAAGGCGGAACGCATTAAAATCCCATCAACCCCAAGATACCCACGGTCTGTTGTGGGCTCCGATAGAGGTAAGGACTTCTCGGCATCCCATCTCTCCTGCTTTTCCTGTGGTCTGACTCCTCACGGTGGAGTCTCTGGGCTTAGTTGAGAACTTTGTAATCATCTCAGTCAATCAGTAAAAGTTCATTGAGCCCAGCAGTGGCCCTGGTGATGTGGGAGGATCAGGGACAACGCAGAGCCCAGCGTCTGAGATCCAGGCCATGTAATGCAGTGGGGATAGAGCTGTGTGTCTGAATCACGTCTGCCTTTCGGTCTTGGCTGTGGGGAAGGGAGATGGGAGTTCACGCCGGCATTACACACTCCTCTCTGCAGGTTCACTGTCACATTCTGAATGCAGCACTCCTCCGCAGTCACCCCTCAACATCGACACCCTGTCCTCTTGTAGCCAGTCCCAGACCTCAGCCTCCACATTGCCCAGAATCGCTGTCAACCCTGCGTCCCTCGGGGAGCGGAGAAAGGACAGGTGAGCGTGGCCTGGCATTGGTGGCATGGGTAAACCAGTGGACAGTGCATCCCAGTGGCGGGCCCAGGCTCTGCAGGGAAGGGGCTTAGTAGAAGCAGCAGGAGCAGCTTGTGTGTCCCAGCGTTCGCTGGTGTCACCAACAGGTGCCATGGGACACTGGATACAGGGAGGTGAGGCATGTGTGAATGGCAAAGCAGGGAGCAGGGTTGGCTTATAGTAGATGATGCTGGCAACCATCTGATGGTGATCATGCCATCATGGCACCACGTACACCTTCCTGGGCCCTTGTTCAAGCACTTTATATGTGACTAAGTCATGAGATCCTTCCAGGGACCCTGTGAGTGTTGTTATTATTACCCCCACTTCTCAGTTGAGGAAACTGGGTTCAGACATTGGAGTGACGGGCCTATGGCCGCAGCCTAGTTAGCCGCTGGCACCCGGACTCATTCTTATTCTGTGGTTTTCCCTCTCACTTGAAGCTTTTTGTTATGAAATAAAATATACATAGGAAGAAAGTCCATAAAGCATAAATGTGCAGCCTAACTCTTCACTGGTTCATTTTAGAATGTAGGCCCATCTTTGCTTAGGTTTCAGGTTGACTGTAGGCTTGCTGTCCGTCCAGAGGCACCTCCTCCATGAATTCCATCACCCGTGTGCACTCTGCACACACCTCCGCCCTCTCTGTTTTTCCCCTAGACGGAACTTACTAGAACGTGTTTACATTTAACAGCTTCTATCTAGATCATAGATCTTACAGAGCTCTGATTAAACTTAAACTTACCGTTATTTAATCACCAAAAGCTATGCTTGTTCATTTCAATTCAGAAAGCTGAGGCCTCTGTAGCTATGAGCCTCAGCAGGGACCCATGTGGGGTGGGCCCTATGTTGAGAAAAATCTTTTTTTTGGAGATGGAGTCTTGCTCTGTTGCGTGGGCTGGAATGCAGTGGTGCAGTCTTAGCTCACAACCTCCAGCTCCTGGGTTCAAGTGATTCTCTTGCGTCAGCCTCCCAAGTAACTGGGATTATAGGCACCCACTACCATGCCCTGCTAATTTTTGTATTTTTAGAGATGAGATTTTACCACATTGGTCAGCCTGATCTCAGATTCCTGACTTCAGGTTACCCATGCACCTCGGTCTCCCAAAGTGTTGGGATTATAGGTGTGAGCCACCGGGCCTAGCCAGAGAAAAATCTTATGTTTGACTTGAAAGTCTGAACTTAAAGGGCAACAAACCAGAGAACCTGAGAGGTAATGAAAGGACACTGAAACACAGAGGCCTGGCCCCAGTAGGGGAATCGGGTGTACCTCACAGAAATGCTGATGGAGCTCTTATCATGTGGCACACGCAGGAGCACACTGGCCTGTTTTACTCAGCCCCTTCCCTGGCCAGAGAGGACAGGGCCTTCCCCGAGTGAAGTGGGTTCTTCAGACATGAAGAAGGCCTTGCCACCCACCATCAAGCATTCCCTTAGCTCCCTGTAAGGTGCAGAGAGCCAGGAGCTGCTCCAGGAGGGAGAAGTATGAGTGACTCCTGCCCTCATGGTAGTTAGGATCCAATTGGAGATGAAATTTGACATATGTGACCTAACTGAGCAACAGCTTTTTTACAAATAGCCCCGTTTTCCAGATTCTGAAGTACAGCATTTTATACTTGTTATAGAAAATCAGGGACATAGAAAAGTAGAAAGAAGGCTGGGTGCAGTGGCTCACACCTGTAATCCGAGCACTTTGGGAAGCCAAGGCGGGTGGATCACCTGAGGTCAGGAGTTCAAGACCAGCCTGGCCAACATGGTGAAACCCCATCTCTACTAAAAATACAAAAATTAGCAGGTGTGGTGGCAGGTGCTTGTACTCCCAGCTACTCGGGAGGCTGAGGCAAGAGAATCACTTGAATCTGGGAGGCGGAGACTGAAGTAAGCTGAGATTGCATCACTGCACTCCAGCCTGGGCGACAGAGTGATACTCCATCTCAAAATATAAAAAAAAGAAAAGTAGAAAGAAGAAGAAAGTCACATGTAATCTCTTCAACAAGAGAGTCAATTGTCATTACCTTTTGGAGATACATATATATGTATGTAGAATGCATGCTTTATTAATTATGTATATAATCACATCTCCCTTAACATTATGTTTTTAAGGCATTTGTAATAGTTTAAGTATACTTTATAAACCTCTATTGAGAAGCAGCTATTGTTTAGAGAAAACTTTTATGCATATTATAAAAATTTACATCATTCAGAAGACTAGAAAGTGAAGATAATCTCCGGTTGGGCACAGTTGCTCATGCCTGTAATCCCAGCACTTTGGGAGGCTGAGACAGGTGGATCACTTGAGTTCAGGAGTTTGAGACCGGTCTGGCCCACATGGTGAAACCCCATGTCTACTAAAAATACAAAAATTAGCCAGGCATGGTAGCAGGAGCCTGTAATCCCAGCTACTCAGGAGGTTGAGGCAGGAGAATTGTTGGAACCCAGAAGGTGGAGGTTGCAGTGAGCTAAGATGATGCCACTCCAGCCTGGGTGGCAGAGTGAGACTCTGACTTCAAAAAAAGGAAAGAAAGGAAAAAAAGATTATCTCAGATCCCCTTACCTGGTGACGTCCTGTGTAGAAGCACTTGGTAACGTCCTTTATAGGAACCTCCTTGTGCACAAATTCATGCATACTTGTGTGTGCGGATGCAGATGAGTGTAAGTGCAATGGTGCTGATCAGCCTCCGCACCCCATGGTGTGTCCCTTACATCTCTGCATGTCCCTGGAACCTGGTTCAGACTGTCGTTCTGTTGTGTGGCTGTTGCTGTGACTTAGTCGCTTGCTCCTGTATTGGGATACACGTGTTGTATGGAGGTGGACCTCTTTCTGCCCTGGGTCTCTGTTCCATCATCTAAGGCTGGTGCAGGAAGGTGATGTGGGGGTGCCTGTGTGCTGAGGGCTCTGCAGGTCTCAACAGCCCGGGGCTCTAATCCATCTTCGGTTGGAAGGGACTGTGGGTGTAGGCTGGGGAGTATCTGTCTGAGCTGAAGGGTTAAGGGAGGACTTCCAGAGCGAGCAAGTTTGGGAAGTGGGAACACTTTGGAGGGTGGGAGAGAGCAGGGGCAACTCAAGAAGAATTTTAATCTCCCTCCCAAGAGGGTTGGGCTGCAGAGCCGAAGCCTGAGACTGCCAAGTGGGAAGCTTCTCTGCCTCCAGGTGGCCGGGGTGGGGTGGTTTAGGTGCCTTCCCGCTAGAACCTATCCCGACCTCGTGCTGCAGAGGGGACCTGGACTGGCCCCCTCAGCCTTTGGCTATGGTTTTTTCCTGCGACCAGGGCTGGCGTGAAGTCCTGGGCAGCTGTCTTTTCCCAGCGACAAGGTGTCTTTGGTTGTCTTTCTGTTCCAGGTGTCCCCGTTTGTCATTGTCATCTGAGTGTCCCTTATCTTTGTCACCTTCCAGATGTCTCTGCCATCATAGAGCTCTTCTGAGGCTGCGCGTGGCTGCCAGGCCCAGGTCTTCCTCCATGTAGTCGGCCTGCCCAGAGGCTCCCCGCCGTGCCCCTGCTCTCGGTGCCCTTGGGCACAGTGGGCAGCCCAGGGCAGCAAGTGCATGGCCGCGGCCTTGCGGGAGCCTTCTCCTCCCTTTACAACAGCTCGGACCTGCCGTGGCTTGATCTCCATGACCGGTTGACATCACTCTGTGTAGCCAGTAAACACAAAAGTGGATTATTTTCTGTTGCCTCCTCAGGATGGAATGTCATCCCAGGAGCCATTTCTTATCCTCGGAGAGCATCTCGAGACCCCCTGCCACCTGCCCGCCCCAGAGTTTGCAGTTGCATACTGTGGGGCAGCTCCTCTCCTGTGATGCAAATCCGCATGTATCAGTGTTTATAGTTACAGGGACTGTTCTCTGTGTCTTTGGCCTGGGTGCTTGCGTGTCTGGGTGTGCTGTGCTCACGTTGCGTGGGGCTGTGGGAATGTGATCCTTTGTCACACAGGGGTGGGCCCACTGTGGCCCCATCTAGCTGTGTCACGATGGGAGCATCTAGGCTCGGGGCCCTTTCTGCACTGCCTGATCGCAAGCCGAAGCTCAGGCTCTCCCCAGCCCTTTCCTTTGGCTCTGAGCCCCCAAAACTTGACTCTTCCCCAGGCCTTACGTGGAGGAGCCACGCCACGTGAAGGTGCAGAAGGGCTCAGAGCCGCTGGGCATCTCCATCGTGAGTGGAGAGAAGGGCGGCATCTATGTCTCCAAGGTGACCATAGGGAGCATCGCTCACCAGGCCGGCCTTGAGTACGGGGATCAGTTACTGGAGGTGAGAGGGAGCTGCCCTCCTGCTTGGGTTCCATGGAAACCTGCCCTTCTTCCCCCTCTCCTCCACCTAGGGAACAGCAGTACTCCCAAGTCCTCAGGGCCTTCACCCTGTCACTGAGCCCACCCTGGTGTTTCCCCAGTTCAATGGCATAAATCTGCGGAGCGCCACAGAGCAGCAGGCGCGACTCATCATCGGGCAGCAGTGTGACACCATCACCATCCTGGCTCAGTACAACCCCCATGTGCACCAGCTCAGCAGCCACTCCCGGTCCAGGTGAGCACAGGCCTCCCCAGGCCGTCTGGGCAGGGGGCAGAGAGGTGGGTGTGGCAGCACTCCACTCATTGCTGGGAGACCCAGGGAGCCAGCTGCAAGTTCTGGGGGTGCTACTCCTGCTAAAGGGAGAGATGACAGCCCTGGATTTTGGAAAAGGGGCATACAGAGAGAGGCTGTTGCCTCCTGAAATGGGGTGTGGAAACAGATGGCGTGGTCCCCCTGCCCAGCAGGGGCCTGGTGGCAGCCAGGAGCTGCGGCCCCATGGGTGGATTCTGGCTCAGAGCGTTTGGCTCCCTGACCATGAGCAGACACTGGATACCTGCTTGTATCTGCCCCTGAGCCGTGGGTCGAAGGGCAGAAAAGAAGGGGGCATGCCCTCCAGTGCTGCACCACAGGCTCAGTGGAACAGATAGGATGCACAGGCAGAGGAAAAGGGACAGGATGCTCACAGGTCCCAAGGCCAGATGCCTTTGGAGAGGGTCCCTGAGCTGAGGGCAGGTGGGGAGGAGAGGGCAGGCCGATCCTTTGGGGTGGATGTCATGGGTCCAGGTTTCTGATGTGTCTGCTCTGCTTAGGATGCAGGGCTGTGTGACCCAGTCCCCATTTACAACTCCAACCCAGTTGCCACAGGAAAGGGGGTGGCTCTGGATGGCTTTGTGCTGCTCCTTATCCCTCCTGTCCTCCGTCCCCAGCTCACACCTGGACCCTGCCGGTACCCACTCCACTCTCCAGGGCAGCGGCACCACTACCCCGGAGCATCCCTCTGTCATTGACCCACTGATGGAGCAGGATGAGGGCCCTGGCACCCCTCCAGCCAAGCAGAGCAGCCCCAGCTCCAGGTGAGCCTTCTCTGTATCCTCTTGGGCTGGGTGGGGCTGAGCACATCCTCCAGGCGGCACAGGCACTGGGCAAGCAGCCTCATGTGTGGCAGGCCACACGCCAGGTCTTCAGGAGTTGGGCTGGGAGCATAGCATTCCTTTTTTCCTGCCCTCCTCTCTCTTTTCCTTTCTCTTTTTCTCCTGTTTTCTAGTTGACATGTTCTTTCCCCTGCATCTTTTTCTCTCTTCTGTTTCTCATTCACTCGCTTTCTGTCTTTGGACACATTCCCACAGTCATCATCCAGCCAGGCCCTGGGCTCTGGCCACCCACAGCAATGCTTCTCCCAAGGAGGTGATGGACTAGTGCCAGGCGTGTGCAGCACAAATGGGGTGCCGGGAGGGCACTGCTGGCTGCTGCAGATCGGGCAGGAAGATCACTGCAGTGTGGCAGGGGAGGCGGCAGCTGGATTAAAATGTTCAGGCCAGGCAAGAGCCAAGGGTGGGCATAAAGGGAAGTCCAGGCAGAGGGAGCAGCCATGTTCAGGAGGAGGAAGGAGCCCTGTGGGAGCTGCACAGCATCCAGCCTGGCCTGGGTCAGCAGGGAGGGCCACCCAGGCCAGGGTGTGGCGCGATCAGTCTGCAGTCCTGGAGGAGCCGTGTCTCCAGCACTGAGGGGCCTTCGCCAAGCTCTGGACAGCATCTTACAGAATGAGGCCAGCGCTGCATTCTCTACCAGAGTCTGTCACATTGGAACTTACCTGCCGCAAGGTTTTCCTCCCGGGCTGGCGTCTCCCCTGACGACCCCTTAATCTGTTTCTGTTGCTCTGTATGTTCAGCAGCTTACTTTCAGCTTCCCTCCCTTGAGTGTAAGTGCCTTGATGGCAAGGAGCCCCTCTTTATGAGTTAGCAGTTCCTGGTCGACAGCAGCTGCTTGATAGACATTGCAGAACATGTTGCTGTGCTCTGGACAGTGAGGCCAACTTTAACCTTTCTTAGGAAGGACTAAGTTAGGAAAATGAGTGTGATCCATATGGGAGGGAGGACATCCTGATCTCTAAGGCTTGTGATAGCCGGGCCTGGGAGCGGGGCCACCGATGTGTGGTTTTTTGTTTTTTTTTTTTTTTTTGAGACAGAGTTTCGCTCTTGTTACCCAGGCTGGAGTGCAATGGCGCGATCTCGGCTCACCGCAACCTCCGCCTCCCGGGTTCAGGCAATTCTCCTGCCTCAGCTCCTGAGTAGCTGGGATTACAGGCATGCACCACCATGCCCAGCTAATTTTTTGTATTTTTAGTAGAGACGGAGTTTCACCCTGTTGACCAGGATGGTCTCGATCTCTTGACCTTGTGATCCACCCGCCTCGGCCTCCCAAAGTGCTGGGATTACAGGCGTGAGCTACCACGCCCGGCCCCGATGTGTGGTTTTTACTCTCCCCCTAACTGGCTTTGAACCTGGGGTCTTGCCTTCATCTCCAGTGCACCTCAGGTGTCCTGCCCTGCACGCCGAACCAGTAGAACCAGAGGCCACCTCTCGGCTCCCTGTAGTTCTGAGACCCCAGCAAGCAGGCGGAAAGCAGTCAGGGCATTGGCCTCTGCTTTTTCTTTTTGCGCCTCCTCCCTCCTTTTGCACAGTGGAGGAACTTAGTTATTTTTTTTTTCCCTGAAAGGATTGCGGGAGATGCCAACAAGAAGACGCTAGAGCCGCGTGTTGTCTTCATCAAAAAGTCCCAGCTGGACCTTGGGGTGCACTTGTGCGGCGGGAACCTGCATGGGGTGTTTGTGGCCGAGGTGGAGGATGACAGTCCTGCCAAGGGTCCTGACGGCCTCGTTCCGGGGGACCTCATCCTGGAGGTGAGTTCTGAGCTGCTGAGCAGGCCAGGCCTCCATCCGCCTGCACAGTGGGCTTGCTGCCATCTCAGGTGGCAAGATGGAGAGTACAGCCTCTCACCTGGTGAGCCAGTCAGGGCTGACTGTTGTTGTTCAGGCAGTCTTGCTCTGTCACCCAGGCTGCAGTGCAATGCCGCGATCTTGGCTCACTGCAGCCTCTGCTTCCCAGGTTCAACCGATTCTCCTACCTTAGCTAAGTAGCTGGGACTGCAGGTGTGCACCACGACCCCCAGCTAATTTTTATATTTTTAGTAGAGACCAGGTTTCACCATGTTGCCCAGACTGGTCTCAGACTCCTGACTTCAAGTATCCTCCCACCTCAGCCTTCCAGAGTGCTAGGATTACAGTCATTAGCTACCGCACCTGGCCGCAGCGTTGATCTTTTAATCCCTGTAAACACAGAATGCTGCCAGCCTCCTCTGAGCAGGTCCCTGTGAAGCCAAGCAGGCCACTGAGGGAAGGCAAAGGCAGAGCCTTGGCTCAGGCCCTGGGCACCAGGAGGTGCCTGCCCTCAGATAGTGCAGCTGCAGAAGGATGGTCTTTCTCTGTGGTCTCCTGCCTCAGTGGGGAGATGGTTCATGAGAATATGAAGGCACAAGTTGGTCTGGGCTTGGTGGCTCACACCTGTAATCCCAGAATTTTGGAAGGCCTAGGTGGGAGAATTGCTTGAGCCCAGGAGTTTAAGACGAGCCTGGGCAACATAGTGAGACCCTAGCTCTACAGAAAACAAAACAAAAAGATTAGCCAGGTGTGGTGGAGTGTGCCTGTAGTCCCAGCTACTCGGGAGGCTGAGGTGGGAGAATCACTTGAGCCCAGGAGATCGAGGCTACAGTGAGCTGTGATTGCACCACTACACTCAGTCTGTGTGACAGAGAGAGACCCCGTCTCAAAAAATTAATAAAAGCACAGGTAGCATCAGCGGGAGGAAGGGCCCTGTTCTGAAAAGTCCAGACTTGTTGGGCACCAGAACAGGGCTTTTCCTGGATAAGCTGTCAAGGGCAGAGCAGCCACTTGGCAGAGGACCTGGTGTCCAGGGAGCATGTGCGGGACCTGGGGGCTGGGGAGACGATGAGGACTCAGCCCTTCCTGCAGAGCAGAGGCAGGCAGGGTCTCAGTTAAGGAGGGATGTTGAATCTCTGCCGTATGGCCATCACTGGCCCCTCTCGGGTGCCCAGGCTGCCCCTGGCTTCGGCCTTCTGATCGCATCCCCCCATCCCTGGCAGTATGGCAGCCTGGACGTGCGGAACAAGACAGTGGAGGAGGTCTACGTGGAGATGCTGAAGCCCAGGGATGGCATCCGCCTGAAGGTGCAGTACCGCCCCGAGGAGTTCACGAAGGCCAAGGGCCTGCCTGGTGACAGCTTCTACATCAGGTACAGTGGCTGGGGAATTGGTGGGAGATTTGGGGCCAGAGGAGAGGCTTTCATTGGAGACGCTCTTCCTGGTAAATGGCTCTCTGTTTCTTGCACCCCAAGGCTGGGGCCATGATTATCATTCCTTGACACTCAAATCTGCACGCTTATTTGTGGTGAGATGATTGTGACTTAGAACAGATTGTGACTCAGAACAACTTTTGAGGGCTTTAAGAACCACGTGGGCTCCCTCTTTAGGGCTTAGGGCCTGGAGAATTTTCAGGATGTCATGCCCCATTTTCCTGTGTGCTGTGCTCCTTTTTCTGGTGTCCCCCAGGCCAGGTTTGCAGATCCCTCTGCAGTGTGTGTGGACTTCCAGGCATCTTCAGTGCCCTTAGGTACTGTATGAAATGCTGTGGGCATTTGGGGCTGTCATCAGGTTTTCTAGGGAGCTCAGAGCTTTCTTTATGTTTCCTAAGATCCGAGATCACAGAAAGCATGGGAACACTGATGCAGTACAACTCCCTGCCTCTAGGGTAGGCGGTGACGTGTTTCCTTCCTGGAGAGATTCCAGTCTGTAGGAACCAGGGGCCTGGACTTTGAGGAGGGAGGCAAATGGGAAAAGCCACCTGGAAAGAGAAGTTAGGGCCTCAGACCTTGGCAAGTTCTTTCTCTGATGCGGATGTGCCCTAGTGTTAGAGGAGCAAAGGCAGTCTTTGTCCCTTTATGTAAAACACAGGGCTCCCCGCTTTGAGAACCACCACCAGAATGCGGAGAGGCGATTCCTGATCAAGTCTGGAGACAGCTCAAAGCAGAATAGCAGCCTTAGGGACCTGGCCACGGAAGGCACCTGGTCCGTAGCCAGAGCCGCCTGACGGTGTTCCCTCTGTGCTGTGGTCCAGGGCCCTGTATGACCGGCTGGCAGACGTGGAGCATGAGCTGAGCTTTAAGAAGGATGACATCCTCTATGTGGATGATACTTTGCCCCAGGGCACGTTCGGGTCCTGGATGGCTTGGCAGCTGGACGAGAATGCCCAGAAGATCCAGCGTGGGCAGATTCCCAGCAAATATGTGTAAGTGTTGTCTGGGGAGGGTTGGGGCAGGGGTTGCCAAGGGCAGCCAGCCACGGAGCTGTCCCATGAGGGGCACTAGGGCACCAGGACTGCTGGAGGAGGAACTCTGCTGCTCATCTTAGCTTCCGCTCTCTACATTTTGCCAAAAGTGCTGATTTAAAAAGTTGCTTCTAGTGTGAGTCAGTGCTGTATAGAGCACAGTGGTGGGTCAGGAGGCATTAACTTGTTTTAGAAAAATGGATTTATAGAGATACTCATACCTTGCTGCTCCCTCAGAGTGTACCATTCAGTGGTTTTCAGTATATTCATAGGTGTGTGCAGCCACCACCACAGTTAATTTTAGAGCATCTCCATCACCTCAAACAGACCCCAGACCCATTCGTGGTCACCCCTAGTCCCTCTGTCCTTCCACCCAGCCCTCAGTCCTAAGTAGCCGCTGCTTTGCTTCTGGTACTCATGGGTCTCCCTGTCTAGACTTCTGTGTAGATGGGATTGCATAGTGTGGCCTTTCGTCTGGCTCCTGTCACTGAGCATAATGTTTTCGAGGCCGCCTTCATCCCTGGATTGTTCCCTTCTATGACAGGAAGCATAATTCATCATGTCACCAAGTGAAGGCTGCCCTAGCCAGTTCCTTTTGACACTGAGCTGATCATGCTGTAGTAGAAATTTGCCTGCTCTGAGAGCTTGCCCTGGTGCTGGTGTTTGTGTCACCCCTGCAGCATGTACCGAGGGGTCTCGGGGGCGTGGGAAGTGACGTAGCCTTGAGACCTGCCGAGAGATGTCGGGGGAGCCTGGTGCCTGGCCCACCCTTGCTTTTCTCACCAGGAAGGGCAGGTAGGGTAGGGCAGCAGGGTCTCGATGGCCCTGCCCAGCATTGTCCCCTGTGCCACAGGATGGACCAAGAATTCTCCAGGAGGCTCAGCATGTCTGAAGTCAAAGATGACAGTAGTGCCACAAAGACCCTGTCAGCGGCTGCACGCCGGTCTTTTTTTCGGAGGAAACACAAGCACAAACGCAGCGGGTCCAAGGATGGGAAAGACCTGCTCGCCTTGGAAGCCTTTTCCAGCGATTCCATTCCACTCTTTGAAGGCAAGTGGCTGAGCTCATTTTCCAGTGGGTGGGGTTTGCTGTGGATCCAGGAGCTCCACAACAGGGACTTAAACAAATGAGAGGCTTACTTTGCTTTTGTGCACAAGTCTGGAGGTGTGTGTCCAGCTTGGTCACGGAGGATGCTACCATCTTCAGAGCCACATCCATGGGGTGTGGCCTCCATCCTCCCAGTCACTGCCTGTCAGTGTAGCTGCAGCCATCGTATCCCTGTTTCAGGAAGCAGGAGGGAAGAAGGGGTAAGGCAGAAGTGTGCCTTCGCTGAATGTGCCTCTTTCAGCAGCTATCTGGAAGCCCTAACCCCTGACTCCACTTACATCTCATTGTCCGCCTGCATGTTCAAGAGAGGTCAAAAAGGCATGTTTTGGCCGGGCGCAGTGGCTCACACCTGTAATCCCAGCACTTTGGGAGGCAGAGGCAGGTGGATCACCTGAGGTCAGGAGTTTGAGACCAGCCTGGCCAACATGGGGAAACCCTGTCTCTACTAAAAATACAAAAATTAGCTGGGTGTGGTGGTGAGCACCTGTAATCTCAGCTATTTGGGAGGCTGAGGCAGGAGAATCACTCGAACCTAGGAGGCGGAGGTTGCAGTGAGCTGAGATTGCACCACAGTACTCCAGCATGGGCGACAGAGCAAGATTCCGTCTCAAAAAAAATAAAAAGAAAAGAAAAAGAAAAGGCATGTTTTATCTGGGTGCATTACTGGGCTCAGTAAGAGGTTCAGTCACTAAGGAAAAGCGGAAGGACAGCTAAGGAGTAGGCAAAAAGCAGTTGTTGCTGAGTGCATTGCTTGCCATTTGTTTTTAGGTTATTACAGGCTGCTTGGTCGTGACCAGTGGCCATTGGTTTCTGCAGAACTTCGGCATTTCTAGCGTCAATCCTGTGTTCATTAACAACTCTTCTATGATCCTTCTGGGGCAGGATGCTAGTCCAGGGCTGGAGTTGAGTATCAGGAGATGGCGTACATCTTCTTGTAGACAGCCCTTGTGGAAAGGTTGCATTTGTCCTGCAAAGCAAGAAGCCCTTATGAACGTGGACCCCAGGCCCCTGGTGTGTGTCTCCTGTCCTAGAACCTGCCCTCCCTGGCAGTCAGGTGTGGGGGTGCAGTAAGCAGCAGAGGGTACGGCAGCTGGCTGCCTCCCTCCGTCCCTTCCCTTTTTACAGTGAAGATCTTAGGCCTAGGGAGTTGACTGGATCACACTGTATTGATTACATGGCCCACTGTTAACTGTCAGTTAGGACAAGAGTTGGCAAACTATTGGCCATGGACCAAGTCTGGCCCAACTGCCTATTTTTAAACAGTCTGTGAGCTAAGCATGGGTTTTTATACTTTTAATTTTTATTAAATAATTTATTTGTTTGAGACGGAGTCTTGCTTTATTGCCCAGGCTGGAGTGTAGTGGCATGATCTTGGCTCACTGCAGCCTCCACCTCCTGGGTTCAAGTGATTCATCTGCCTCAGCTTCCTGAGTAGCTGGGATTACAGGGGCGTGCCACACCACACCTGGCTAATTTTTTTGTACTTTTAGTAGAGATGGGGTTTCACGATGTTAGTCAGGATGGTCTCAATCTCTTGACCTCATGATCCACCCATCTTGACCTCCCAAGGTGCTGGGATTACAGGCATGAGCCACCGCACCTGGCCAGGTTTTTATACTTTTAAAAATGTAAGGTGTAAAGAAGTCTGTTAACCTTTTGCTGATAACAGTTGCTTAATTTTGGCATTTTGCCTTCAAAGCCTAAAATACTTACTATCTTGCCCCTTACAGAAAAAGTTTGGGCCAGGCATGGTGGTACACACCTGTAATCACAGTACTTTGGGAGGCCAAGGTGGATGGATCACTTGAGGCAAGGAGTTTGAGACCAGCCTGGCCACCATGGTGAAACCTCATCTCTATTAAAAAAAATTAGCCTGGTGTGGTGGGTCATACCTGTAGTCCCAGCTACTGAAGAGGCTGAAGCAGGAAGATTGCCTCAGCCTGGGAGGTCAAAGCTGCAGTGAGCTCTTATCATGCCACTGCACTCCAGCCCAGGTGACAGAGTGAGACCCTGTCTCCAAAAAAAAAGATTGCCAACCTGTTAATCAAGGCGAGGTTTCTCTCTTATTTTGCTTTTTGGTTCTTTTTCTTCATTCTTTTTGGTCTCTGCTCTGGTGCCCTCTGCTCCTTTCTCTGTAGGCACTGTCTCCAGTACGTTTGGCATTTGTCCAGTGGCATTAGCATCTTTGAAAAATAGCCCTTTGTCTATTCTTCCTTTTAGCTCCTCAGTGTTTTTCAGTATATATCTTGAAGTTGTCATGAGGTACATACACGTTTTAAATTATTATATCTTCCTGGTAAATTAACTCTTTTATCATTACATACTTCTTGATTTCCAGCAATGTTTCTTGCTGAACATCTATTTTATGTGATGATTATTATTATTATTATTATCTATATAGATAGATAGACAGAGAGAGGGGGGAGAAAGAGAGAGAGAGAGAGAGAGAGAGAGAGAGAGACAGAGTCTTGCTCTGTCACCCAGGCCGGAGTGCAGTGGCTCAATCTCAGCTCACTGCAACCTCTGCCTCCCAGGTTCAAGCCATTCTCCTGCCTCAGCCTCCTGAGTAGCTGGGATTACAGGCACACCACCATACCCAGCTAATTTTTTGTATTTTTGTTAGTAAAGGAGAGATTTCACCATTTTGGCGAGGCTGGTCTTGAACTCTTAACCTTGTGATCCATCCGCCTCAGCCTCCCAAAGTGCTGGGATTACACGTGTGAGCCACTGCGCCTGGCCCATGTGATGTTTTTATTGACATTACCAGTTTTCTTTTGGTTAGCTTTGGCACAGTTCATCTTTTTCCTTTACTTGAAACTTTTCTGTCACATTATATTTAAATATCCCTTATAGGCAGCATGTGGGATTTTTTTTTAAATCCACTGTGGCAATCTGTCTTTTTAAAATTTTTGTCAAAGTGTAACATACATACAGCAATATGCACATTCATTTACAGACAAGTGAGCAGCATGAGGAATTTCCACAATCTGAACACCCCTGTGACAGTCCTTGTTTAATCAGAGTATTTACTCCATTATATATAGACATTTACCTTCTTGCTGTTTGCTATTTGTTCTACCTAGTTTCTGTTTGTCCCTTTTCTCTGGCTTTTTAAAAATTAATCATGTGTTTGTTTTATTCTGCCCCACCATCCTCTACCATCCTCTTACATATCCTGGTTTTTAGTTGTTTCTGTTTTATGTTTTTGGGGGTTAAAATAGACCTCACAGTGTGCACCTTTGACTTACTTCTAAGAGAAATCGTTACTTTGACCACTTCCATGATAATTCTAAAACATCAGACCACTAACTCCATTTACCTCTTTTCTAACTTGGATACTATTCTCAATTTATAATAATAATTTTTTTTTTTTTTTTTTTTGAGACAAAATCTCTTTCTGTTACTCAGGCTGGAGTGCAGTGGTGCGATCTCGCCTCACTGCAACCTCTGCCTCCTAGGTTCAATCAATTCTCCTGCCTCAGCCTGCAGAAAGCTGGGGTTACAGGCACCTGTCACCACATCTGGCTAGTTTTTGTATTTTTAGTAGAGATGGGGTTTCACCATGTTGGCCATGTTGATATGTTGCTCTGTCTTCATGTCACCTTCTCCCCTACGTGGGTCTCTCAACTCCCTCTGCCTCTCAGAGGACCCATGAGGTTTTATTTAGGGCCCACCCAGATACTCCAGGAAAAGCCCCTCCTCCGAAGGCCTTTAACTCAATCATCACTTCTTTCATTGCATAAGGTAATGCTCATGGGATCTGGGGCTTAGGAGGTGATTCAGTCTTTGGGGGACACTTGTCAGCCTGCCACGCTCATTGCTGGTGAGAAGTCATCTTTCCAGTCTCAGTGCTGAGGGCAGTACCACCACCTGTCTACTACCATGTGTGGGTAGGCTTTTCTCTGCCTTTCTTTCTCAGAAAGAAATTTCCTAATTTCTTACCATACCATGCTCCCCCAATGTGGTTTTCTATGTGTTTATCCTGCTCAGAAGGTTCCAAGCACTTTTTACGTCTGTAACATGGTGGTTTGGTCGGTTTTAGATATTCCTGGCTACAGTTTCTTTAATATTGCTTCTATGCTAACCTCGCCTCTCCTCGGGGTTTTCGTTCTTCGAATTACATGAGGTAACATCTGTCTGTCTCCTGTCTTCTGGGCTCCTTTTCTCTTGTATTTTCCACTTCTTTCTCTTGATGCTTCAGCCAGCCTGGCTGTTTTCTCCTCACCTTTTTCCTGCTCATCATTCCGCTCTTCTGTTGCATCCATTATGTTCTTACTTTCAGAAATTGTACTTTATGTATCACTCGAGAGTTTCCATTTGGTTCTGTTTCTTTACCAGGCTTCCTCTGCTCAGACTTTCCCTCTTGCTGTCTGTTCTCCTAAATACCTTAATCATACATTTGTGAAGACCGCGTTTGGTAGCTGTCATGTGTGGTCATCCCTGAGTCTCTTTCTGTGGTCTTTGTTTTTCTTGGTCCTGCCCCTTAAATATGCCTGGTTATTGTTTATTGAGATGTCAGAAGTTATGTTTTGGGGATTGTCAGGCTCTGAGTGATGTTGCCAGCCTCCAGAGAGGGTCTATCCTCTGCTCTGTAGGTAGCCACTGCTCGCAGATCACCTTGACCAAGCTGCAGACTCAGCTGACCTCAGGCTGGGTTGCAGCTTTTGTGCAACTGGTGATTCACCCTGACCCTAGGGGGTGGCCCACCAGTGGTCCCAGCCTGGGGTATTCCCTAGGGTTGTTCCTCCCTAGGGAGCCTTGACTTCCAGTTTCTCACTCTGCAGCACTGGGATGCTGAGTGTCTTAGTGACTTTATCTTAGACTCTTCTTGCTTTTTACAGCAAATGGCTTTGAGGGAAAATTTCTGATATCAGACTTAGTTCTTTGGCCCTCCCTTCCTCTGGAACCATGACCCCTCAGGTCCTGGCAGCCTTGAACTCCGTTTTGATCTCACCTGCTTTGGAGATTTTTCAGAAACTTTTCCTGGGCTCTCAGTCCTTATCAGTGGCCTTGTGCCTGAGTTCCCTGTCCTCATGAGCGGCCCTCTGCCTGGGTCCTGGGTCCTCGATCCTCGGCATCGGCCGTCTGCCTGGGTCCTGGGTCCTGGGTCCTGGGTCCTCAGTCCTCAGTCCTCTGCAGCGGCCCTCTGCCTGGATCCTGGGTCCTGGGTCCTCAGTCCTCAGTCCTCAGTCCTCTGCAGCGGCCCTCTGCCTGGGTCCTCAGTCCTCTGCAGCAGCCCTCTGCCTGGGTCCTCGGTCCTCGGCAGCGGCCCTCTGCCTGGGGCCTGGGTCCTGGGTCCTGGGTCCTCGGTCCTCGGCAGCGGCCCTCTCCCTAGGTTCTCTGCCTCTCACTCTTACTCTCAAAGTCTCCGCTTGCTCTGAAGCGGGAAAGGCCTGCAGAATGTCAGCTTCTACTACTCTGGTTTCCTTCTCTCCAGGACCTTGGCGTCTCAAATTCTGGCTGTCTCTGCCACTCTGTGGTGCCTTCAAAACTATACTTCTCATTTTTCACCCAGATTTTCTAGTTGTTCTCCAAGGGATGCTGCAAGCTGTTCCACTATACCTGGGAGTAATAATCCTTGTGTAGTAGTTTAAAAGTTACTCCAAGTAATTCTACTGCACAGTGGGTTTTGAATTCCTGCTTTTGTTTATTGCTTCCAACTGCTGCATAGCATCCCTGGTACCCCCACCCCCTGATCGTGCACCCCCATAATGGTCTCCTAAGTGGACCCAGCTCTCTACCACCCAGAGGACAGTGCATGTCTTTATGCCTGTCCCTTTAGGGGCTTGTGTGGGAGTGTCTCAGAAATATGTGGAGGACTGGTTTTCCTTTTACCTTAGTCGGCTAGGGCTGCCATAACCAGATACCACAGCTGGCCACAGTGGCTCACATCTATAATCCCAGCACTTTGGGAGGCTGAGGCAAGAGGATCGCTTGAGGCCAGGAGTTCAAGACCTGGGTAACCTGGCAAAACTCCCATCTGTACAAAAACTTACTCATCAATCATGGTGGTGTGTGCCTGTAGTCCCAGCTACTCATGAGGCCGAGGCTGGAGGATCACCAAAGCCCAGGAGTTCAGTGCTGCATTGAGCTATGATTGTGATACTCCAGTTCAGCCTGCCAACAAAGCAAGAACATATCTCAAAAACAAAAACAAAGCAAAAACCAGTACCACAGACGAGGTGACTCAAATAACAAGAATTCATTTTCTCACAGTTCTCGAGGTTGGAAATCCAAGACCTGGGTGCCAGTGTGGTTGGTTCTGATAAGGCCTCTCATCTTGGCTTATTTATACACGGCTGGCTCCTTGCTGTGTCCTCATGTGTTGGAGACAGAGAGATCTCTGGTGTCTCTTCCTCTTAGAAAGCCACAGTTCTATCAAATTAGGGCCCTGCTCTTCTGACCTCATTCAGCTTTAGTTACCTCCTGAAGACTTCATCTCCAAACCTCCATTGGAGGTTAGGGCTTCAGCGTGTTAATGTTGAGGGGACACAGTTCGGTCCACAGCACCTATTAAAGAAAGCCATCGCAGTATGGTCTAAGATTGGAACTCCCAAGACCATGCCTTTGCTCTGTCCTGATGAGCTGTGACCTTGGATAGGCTGTTTTTCTTCTCCAGTTGGAGTCAGTGACTCAAAGGATGCTGTCTAGTCTTACAATTCTGTAATTGTGAGGACCTCTGACAAAGAAGATTGTCAGGGAGGAACAGGAATCTCCTAACTTGGTATCCCATGGTGTGAAATGTTAATAGTCATTAAGGGAGAATATGATTTTTTAAACCATTGACATTTTAATATATTTCCTTCCAATTTTTTACTTAATACAACAAAACTGGGATTATACTTCATTATACAGTTTTTTTTTTAATTTTTAAAAATTTTATTTTTAAAATTTTTTATTCTTACCAAAATCAGGTAAAATAGGTTATACAGTTTTTATCCAGATATTTCCACTATCATATCGTTAGCTTCTTCCCATCTAGTAATATTCTTCCAAACCATTATTTTAAGCACTATGTTGAATTCCACCCCAGAGTGACTATGCCATAATTTGAGAATATAATTCTTATGCCAGTAAACGGAGGGAACGGTGACATGTAGTGCCTGTCCATCAGCAGGGAGGTGGGTAAGTCGATGCAGACTAAGCGTTCATGGGATGTTCAGAAAAAGTAGAGAGGCTCACCTCAGATCACCAGGGATGCCCCCGAGAAACACCCTGGACGGACGAAGGAGCGAGTCACAAAATACCCACAGGCACACTGTAACAATGTATGTTCAAGATTTTCTTTAGTGTATAAAAATAAGTTTGTAAGAATAACTAGGATATACTTCCAGCTGGTAAGAGTGGTTACCTTCAAGGAGGCCAGTGGGGACTGGGGTTGGGGAAGGGGTATCAGTGAGAAAGGCTGGCCTTATCCATGAGGAGGTTTGGATTTGTTACAGAGAGGGTTTGTTTATGTAAACCCCTCTCAGAGGAAGTTCTTTGCCCTGTGCATGACTCCTCCTCGGAGCCTTCACTCAGAACCACATGGGGTTCCCAGGCAGTGAGTGTGACCACCAAACCTTCTCTCAGTTTTAAGCAACAGAGCTGCTGGTCACCAGGTCAGGAAATGCTGCTTGGGAAATGCTGTGTAAAAGTCTGTACATGTATGTGGATAATGATCGGTTTATTTATTTATTTATTTTTATTGAGATAGAGTCTTGCTCTGTGGCCCAGGCTGGAGTACAGTGGTGCAGTGGTGCAATCTCAGCTCACTGCAAACTCCGCCTCCCGAGTTCAAGTGATTCTCGTGCCTCAGTCTCCCGAGTAGCTGGGATTACAGATGTGCACCACCATACCCGGCTAGTTTTTGTATTTTAATAGAGACGGGGTCTCGCCATATTGGCCAGGCTGGTCTCAAAACTCCTGACCTCAAACGATCCACCTGCCTCAGCCTCCCAAAATGCTGGGATTACAGGCATGAGTCATGGCGCTCGGCAGTTATCACTTCTAAAAAGTACACACACGGGGATGGCGCAAGGGAAGAGGAGAGACTTGACTTACTGCCCTTGAGTTTGCCCACTCCCTGGGACTCCCCAAGGTGTCTCTGCTCCACAGTCACCCCTTGCTCTGTGTATGCGTATAGGTCCCTCCTGGCCAAGCCGCTCATGGACTCTTCCTCCTAAGCCTGCTGTCATCTTGTGGTCTACCCTCCCTGTCACCCTCCTGCCCTGCTGTTTCTCGGGGACCACTCTCATCCCACTTCCTTCCTGGGCCTGCCCAAGTGGTCTCTTCACCCTGTCATCCAGCCACAGTATCTGCTGAAGCCCTGCTGCTCCTGGAATTGCCAGGCAGCTCTTGCGTGCTGTCTTGCTGTTCATGTGTGGCTGTGTTGTGACTCTGTGGGGAGTGCTGGTGGGGCAGACACTCCGAGTCCAGGGACACGGGCATTCCTTGGGCTTCGTTTCTCCAGGTTGCTCATTGAGCGGGGTGTCAAAGATTGCCAGTTAAAGTGTGCACTTTTTAATGGCAAGAACTCTGTCTTCCACTCTTTATTGTGTTTCTGAGATGCCAGCACAGTGACTTATACCAGGGAGGTCCCAGGAAGATGCTTGCTGGTTTTTAGACTGTGTCTCCCTGTGAGGACTTTATTCATTTGGTGCAAGGAGAGGTTAACTACATGTATCAACTAGGATATTGATCTGACTGCTTTAACTGAAACCAAGTAACAGTGGCTTAAGCATGATGGGCGTTTTATTTCTCTGTCATGAGCAAGCCTGAGCTGCGGGTGTTCTGGGAGATGCAGTTGTGTTCTGAGGATCATCCAGGACCCAGGTCCTTTCCGTCTTTGGCTCTGCCATTTCTTAAGGGTTGTGCTCAACCGCATGGCCAGAGCTAGTTCACAGCACTCACCCATTCTAGTGGTGCAGATGGGGGAGCCTCACATCTGTCACTAGGCAGGTCTGGCTTACACTGACCACACCTTCCTGGGGAATGAGAGCTCTACCTGCCAAACCCCAGAGGCTGCCTTGCCAGGAAGCAGAGGAGAATGGAGATGGGGCAGGGGAAGCAGGCGTGGGCCCACGAGAAAGAATCAGAGCAGAGGGAAGCGCTGGGATGAGCGGTTGAGACCAGTTGCCTATGGTATTCAGAGTGCATGGCGGGTGCTCGTGCTGGACCCCAGGGGTGACGATTCCTGGGTGTGCCCAGCCATCAGACTTTCAGTGCTGAAGCTGGGGGAGTCCCAGGCAAACCAGAGTGGGCAAGGGCAGAGAGAGCAGGGTTCCCCAGCCCCACTCAGGTCCTCCACTCCAAGCTGGGGCCATGACACTACTGCTCTCTCTCCCTCAGATTCCGTGAGCCTGGCCTATCAGCGTGTCCAGAAGGTGGACTGCACTGCTCTGAGGCCTGTCCTGATTCTGGGGCCTTTGCTGGACGTGGTGAAGGAGATGCTGGTGAATGAGGCGCCTGGCAAGTTCTGCAGATGTCCCCTTGGTAAGGGGCACCGTCTGTGCCTACTGGGCTCTTTGTCTCTGTGTCCTTGTCCACATGCCTGCCCAGCTGTGCACAGTGGGCATCAGCACCGGGCGGATTCCACAGTGTTCTAGAAGCTTCCTGACATGGGTCAGATCCATGTGTGGCAGGACTAGGTTACTGACAGCTGCTGAGCAGTGTTCTTCCCCTGCTCCCTCTGCTGGGGCTCAGCAGGACCTGGGGCTCCCTGATTCCTGTGTCTGTGCTTTACAGAGGTGATGAAGGCCTCCCAGCAGGCCATTGAACGGGGTGTCAAAGATTGCCTGTTTGTCGACTATAAGCGGAGAAGCGGCCACTTCGACGTGACCACTGTGGCGTCAATAAAGGAGATCACAGAAAAGGTACCCAGGGCTTCAGCCTGGGGGTTGGGCACCCATTGGAGCATCCAGTATGAGACCCCCTGTGCACAGCTCTGGGCCCCTAGTCCGTGATCCTCTGCCCCAGGGGCTCTCAGACCTTCAGTGAGCCCACCATGTCATGTTAGTCTGAGTTTACCTGCACCTGGGCTTGCCCTCGTGGCTGCTGTGTGTTTCTTCAAGCGCATCCCTTGGTGGGGGTGGAGGAGCTGCCCTGTGTGTGTGCCATCCCTTCTTCCTCTCTGCGTGGGGGAGGTCTCATCTCTGATAAGTGTATTAAGCTCTGGGGAGAGGCCTCTCTCGGGGGATCCCAGATCAGGGTCCCCAAATGCACATGCCGAACAATTTCACATGCACCTTCTAGGGATAGGAGCGCACCTTCCGTCAGGGTCCCTGCCCCTAAAAGGGCTATGTCTCTTGATGCCTTCAGACTTCCTAGGCAGCACAAGGATGGGGACATCTGTGGGTAGTGTTGGCGGGGCAAACACTCTGAGTCTGGAGACACAGGCGCTTTTTGGGCTCTATTTCTCCAGGTTGCTCAGCTCGCTTTGCTGGGCTTTGCTTTCCTTCTCTGTTAGATGAAGGTGTTGGCTTCTCACTGCTGAAAGTGGGTGAGCTGTAGTGAGGGGAACGCCCCTGAGGAGCGTCTGGGGTTCGGGAACGCACGAGTCTGAACTCTGAGGCCTGGGACCACAGACTTACTTCAGTCCCAGCCACAAAAGGCTTACCAGACTCGCTCTTCATTTGCTCAGTTGCAAAAATCAGACTTCAGAGGCCAGGGTGGGGCAGGGCTTTCAGAAGGGCCGTGTATCTGGGCAGAGGCGGGAAAGGAAGTTTGGAGTTGGGCTGGCCAGCCCTCAGCCTCATCCAGCCCTGGCTCCCAGCCTTGGCTTTCATCACAGGCAGTGGGAGTTTCCTGTGTACGGTTTCCCCACAGTGCACCGTGGGGCTTTACTGCCTTGTCTGTGGGCAGAGCCCTGTGAGGTGAGGTTGGTCCTGCTAGTGGCAGGACAGAGGGCTGGCTGCCCCTCACTGCTCTCGGGGCTCACTCTGTGCCCTCTGCCCCCAGAACCGACACTGCCTCCTGGACATTGCTCCCCACGCTATCGAGCGGCTACACCACATGCACATCTATCCCATTGTCCTCTTCATCCACTACAAGAGCGCCAAGCACATCAAGTAGGTGACTGGCTCCCTGGGCTCCACTGGGGTCTTGTCACAGGTGGGGCTGGGAGCCCACATGGGGAGCAGGGTATGTTGGGTGGGGGCTTGAGGAATGAGAGATGAGCCTGTGGGTCTTGAAATAGGCAGCACGTGTAGAAAATGACCCTTTCCTCTTGGTCCTGTGCCCCACTCACGAAGAGGCTGTGTCAGCCAAGCGCAGCCCTGTCCCTGCACCCTCCGCCACTTGGGTGCTGCCGCCATTCCCTGTGCATGGCCCGCTTGGTCTGCGCACCTCCCCACCTGCCCTAGCCCCCTTTCCTCTCTCTGCTGCTTAGGAGCAGGGGAGCCGGTGGCCTGGACAGAGTCCCACTCAGCCTCTAGCTGGCTCATGACTCGGGAGGTTTGGCCTTCACTGAGCTTCGGCTCCTGTGCTGGTTGGGCTAAGGGCTTGCCAAGGCCCTGCTTCATTTTGCCTTTCTGTGCAGCTGAGCTCCTGGGACCTCTGCTGGGAACTGCTGGTGCATCTGCTCCAAGTACATGTGCTGGGGTGCCCTCCTTCCCCGTTCTGCCCAGAGCTGCCCCCGCAGCCTGCAGGCTGTTGCTGTGCTTTATGTGAGGAGCACATGGGCCCTCCCCCTACAGCCTACCCCTGCCTCAGTGCGGCCCCTGTTAGTCTGGACAGAGGAAGGAAGGAGGGCCTGGAGGAGGCTCAGTGCTCAGCCTGGTGTTGGTTGGGCTGTCCCCACAGGGAACAGAGAGACCCCATCTACCTGAGGGACAAGGTGACTCAGAGGCATTCCAAAGAGCAGTTTGAGGCGGCGCAGAAGGTTGAGCAGGAGTACAGCAGGTACTTCACAGGTAGGTGTTTGTGGGCCCGAAGCAGGGAGCAGGCAGCAGGGAAGGAAGCAGAGGCTTCCCAAGACAGTTTTCTTAGCTGCGGAGAAACCCACACTTCCTAGACGCTTCTGAGTGCCGTCATGAGCATATTCATTTTAAGTGAGGTGTTCCGACTGCAGTCCCTGGCCAGCAGCGGGATTCTTACAGGTTGAATGTTAAGTTCGCTAATCTTGGCCTCGGGTCCCGCCTGGCTTGCCTGGTCATTTTCACATATGCAGTGGTGGGTCTGCCTCATAGCACAGGTGGCATGTGGTACAGCCACAGCATCCCCGGGCAGGGCAGGGACTGGAGCAGCCCCCAGTGTGCCAGCAGTGTGGACAGCGGAGGCTATGGCCATCTGTCCCTAGCACCCTTCAGGGCGGATGACTTTTGCAGTGGTATTTGGTGAACAACAACAAAGAAAAAAACGCTGCCCCTTACCGTCTTTGGTCTTCAAATGGAAACAAACTCAGCCAAGTGTGGTTCCATTTTACCTTCTGGCCTTCAGCCTCTTTGGGAAAGTCTTTCATTTGCAGGGCATTAACATTGCAGTCACAGAGGATGGGATGGGGATTCTAAGTGCATTGTGGAGAGTGTTAGGATCGAGTCCAGGGACCTGGACTTGGCGCCCGTGTGTGCATAGGTGTGTGGGTGTGCATGTGTGCATGCCTGTGTTTGTGCAGGGGGCGTGTGTGCGTGCATGTACTTTCATTTCCAATTCCTTATAGGCTGGTACTTAGAGAGATGAAAATGTGAAACTCTGACACTTGCAAAAGATAAGCCCTGTTCTTTTCTTGTTAGATTCAACAGACAAAATTATGACATCCCTTTTTCATAGCAGTTTCTAAACGCTGTCAATTTCTGAGCGTGCCTTGTTGCAGTGGGGGCTTGGTTTGTGTCCAGGTGCCGTTCTGTGGGGAACACTTGGGAGTAGCCCTGGTTGGTGTCTGTAGACCCGTGTCAAACTCCTGGCCTAGTATGGAGCTTGCCCAAGTTAGAGTCGTCGTCTTGCTGTGACTCCGCTGGGCCGTGAGATATCCGGCTCCTTACACCCGTCGTCATTTTCCTGCAGAATCCTGCTACTGCCACATGCCCCCCAGACTTCTTCCTGATGCCCGGGGATTCCCCCAACTATCGCAACCCCAACCCAGGGTGTTACTGCAGTGGGCTGGGCAGTTCACGTGTAAGCGGTCAACTCACGAGGGGCCATTTTCTTTCCCAATTTCTTGCTGGTGAAGGAGAGTCACGTGGGGATGGGGCAGAGTACCAAGGAGCTCAGAGCAGACAGCCATGCAGTAGAAAGAGTGCAGGCTGTCCTGACTTTTCTCAAACCCGGGGTCTTACTCCGAGCTCAATGATGTGTGTTTGGGGGGACTGTTTTGCAGGGGTCATCCAGGGAGGAGCCCTGTCAAGCATTTGCACTCAGATCTTGGCAATGGTCAATCAAGAACAAAATAAAGTCCTGTGGATTCCAGCCTGCCCGCTCTAGAAGAATGCTGTGCTGTGGATGACTGCAGCTGGCCGCCTGAGGGGACGCCAGGCTCAGCCCTTTTCTAGTGACTAAAAGTAGAAGTCTGTCCGTCTGTGAATATGCAGGGGAAGGATCCAGAACCAGGACCCAGAAGCACCTCCTTTGAAGACAAGAGGGCCACGGCTGCGTGTGATCCAGGCCCAGGCCCACACACTCTGCCCGTCACACGCGTGCTTTAACACAAAACGGATAACACTAAAGACGTTGGATTACAGGGGTTCAGCACCCACCTATCTTTAGCCAGCTGATCAGAGATGCTGCAAAGAGAACCTTTCGGATCACTCGTTTACAAGCCTTTTCTAAGTATTTGGTGGTTTATGTTTACTTGAACGGCCCCATGTTGCCGGTGCCCAGCCCCTGCCCCTCTGTCAGCCCCATCGCTTTGGGATTGGTTTTGTTCCCGTCTTCAGCAAAACGACCTTGGAACCTCAATGGGGGCTGCTTTGCTTTGGGAGGTTCTTGTCGGTGGGACCAGAGCTTTGACAAACCTCCTGCTCCTCGGTGGCACCTCTCCCGGAGGACTTCACAACTGCAGGTGCTCAGACTGCCTGTGGCAGCAGAACCAGTGCCTTTGGCATTTTCCTCCCATACTGGGGAAGGCAACTTTGGTGTTCTTACAGACTCGTCTCTCGGCCTTTCTCTCCTGCCTTCCACAGCCTCTCGTTTCTCCTCCATCTGTGCTTAGTACTTAAGCACTGTGTCTGCTCCGTGAGAGCTGCGTGGGCAGGCTGCGGTAGGGTCCCAGCGGAGTTCAGCTGTGCTGATACCTGCCATCGGGTCCTCCTTAGGCTCTGTAAGTTATGACAGCCTTCATCAGTGCAATGTTTGCAGGGTAATTCTTAAACTTTATAGAGGGTGGCAGGTACATCAGTTCTTTTTGATACGAAAACATTCACATTTCAGACGTTGAATTGAGAGCTTTTAGGGGAGCGTAATGGTTAGTGTCATCACTATCAACAATCTAAAGAAAAACTGAGGTCTTTTTAATCTTGGTTACAGCACTCACGGCATGCACCTTACTCCACGTGGGTGTCTTCGTTTGGGGGCTTTTGTTTTGTTTTGTTTTTGCACTTCTGAGGCTGGATATGTCTGGCTGAAGATTTGATGTGGTTCCTCCTTAAGCTGTGCGTCCTGTTAATAATAGGTACTGTACTGGGCTCTGTGTAAGTGTCATTGGGGTGGGACCTATATTTTAATACTGTTCCTAACATTTCATTTTACTAGCGAGAAATCTTTGATTTCATTTTATTCTTTGTAATTCTAGATAGTAGATTGTAGTTTAGCCATAACTGCCGTTTTTAAAAAGGGATATATTTTCTTGCACAGTTGTTCAAAAAAGAGACAAGTTTCAGTCCCCAATGCTGTCCTTTGTTTTACAGGTACAAGTTTTCTAGCTCAGACGAACGAGGAAAAACTGTAGACTATTCCCGAGGTATTAACTCGCAGACCCTCTGGGGGCAAGGGCTGTTTTCTGAGTTGCAGGCAGAGTGGGACTGAGATGGTACAGTGTGCACAGACAGGTACTGAGCTGACAGACTGGGGTTTTCTGTACTAAAATGTTACTTTGTATCAAAAGTTAAACAGGCTTTAGTACAACAAATAAAGGTCAATTTCTGTAACGTTGTGTTTGAAGATGCGAGTTTTTCATCTCTTCCTATTTGCTCTGCCTTCTTGTATTTCTAAACTTGAGACAGCTTCTCTCTTCTGCAGCATGTAGCTGGAGTTGGCTGGTGTGTGGGTTCTTTCTGGCTCTCATGATAATCCGCAGTCCCTGCTACCTGCTGCATCAGACCCTCACTCCCTCCTCCCTTTCCCTGCCGCCCCTCTGTCCAGTGTGGCGTGAGCTGGTGGATGCAGCCAGGCGGCAGCCCATCTGCGTGAGACCCAGAGCCTGCCCTCTGGCCCTCACATTCAATTCTGCAGGCTTGGGAAAATCAAAAGGGAGTGAGCTGAGGGCTCTGGGCAGCTTTCTCAGAGCCCCGTTGGGGCCCCCGTCTGGGAAGGGCCCCACCTGCATGGGGGCTGCTTTGTGGTACTTGACAGCATCACACTGGGAGATCACCCAGCATTGCTGGGCTCCCGGAACAGCCCATGTGGGCCTGAACTCCATGTTGCAGGGTGGTAAGGGCCCAGGGCAGAGCAGAGCCCTTCTTCTCTGATCCTTTTGCTTGGAGGGGCTTGGGGGCAGAATGTTCTGCAGAACCCTCACTCACATTGCACTGGTCACCAGGCCCGTGGGACAGACTTGGTGTGGATGCCTCCCTCATTCTTTCCTGCCAGGTAAAGTTCCACTATGGTGCTGCAGTCTTGATCTCACCTGTGGCTGTGGGGTGTCACAGAGCTGTGCAGGGCTCTGGTAGTTGGAGTAGGCCCATGTGTCCATAGGGACAGGGCCTGCCTGTGCCTGCTTGACAGCTCACACCCAGCGTCGTCATTTGAAGTCACTGGCCTGGCAAATGGGGGTGTGGGGGTTGGAGCGGTAGTTCCTGGTTTTAGGACTGGTTTCTTTCACAGAGCTTAGATAACGATGCCAAACCTTAACAGCTGCACTTCTGGCACTAGGATTTTATTTTCTTCTTTAGACTTTTCTATAATTTCCAGATTTTCTAGGGGCACCTTGGTTTTTCTTTCGTAATTACAAGGGGGAAGACAATCCTATGTGTTTTTGAAATGGAAGGCAGTTAAGTCACTGAGATCTCACTCTGGACACACTAGGGCCTAGCAGGGCAGCCCCGAGACATGCTGTCAGGCAGCCCTGGGGGGATGCTTGCCCTGGTGGGTTAGAGGCTTATCTATACCACATGGAGACCGTGCTGGGGGGCAAGGTTGTGGGCGCAGCCAAATCGGTCACCTCCCCAAGGTGGTGTCTGGCTCATGCTGGCTCAGATCACTCTGAAAAGGCAGAGCAGATCTTCAGCTCCAGCCATGAGGCCAAGAAACTGAACAGGAGATGACCTCTGCGGCCCCTTCCCATGCTAACAGCTACGGTTCTGTGATACGAGTGGGGAACAGGACTCAAATGGAGCTTGACTGTGCTCCTGGCCCAGCACAGGCTGCAGAACACCCCAGCTTCAAGGTAGGAGGAGACCTCATGCTTAGGCAGGGACCCTGAGCAGCTCTGGGGTAGGAGCTGAGCACCAGCCAAAGCAGCAGGCCTCCCTTTCCAGCCGAGACAAAGCTTTGAGGCTCAACAGCAGTGGGCCAACCAGAGGCTCTGGGGAGCCGAGCTGCCACCTCCTGTGGGGTGGGTGAGACCCAAGGCCACTAAGTCAAGGATGAAGAGAAACATGAAGTGCAGGAAGGGACATAGTGAACATAAACGGCAGACAAGGGTGCACACGCTGGCGTGGGAATGGCAGACCTCTCAGTGGATGGGGGCCCCGAGGTGAGACCTGTGGCAGGCGGGCCCTCTGCGCTGCCCTGCTTCTGCTACTTTTCTGGCCTGTGGGTTCCCTCACCCTTCTCCGTCTGTTCATACCCTTTCATTTGCTCTCCCTTTGTAGGATATGGTCTCTGGCCTCTTGATGGTTCCCCTTTCGTTCTCCCTATTACTATGTGTTTTTATCTTTTTTCCCCAACTGTGAAAGATGTCATACACAGAGAAGATATCCAATACCTCTCATACATAGAGCATATCCAATATAAACACATCGTTTTGTTTTGTTTTTTAGTAGAGATGGATCTTGCTATATTGCCCAGGCTGGTCTTGAACTTCTGGGCTCAAGCAATCATCCCACCTTAGCCTCCCCAAGTGCCGGGATTACAGACATGAGCCACTGTGCCTGGCCATAAAAGTATAGTTTAAAGAGTTAAATGGATAGCGTTAACATCTTTAAGGAACAGAACAATACCACTACCCACCTTCTCCACCAAAGTGAGTGTTAGCCTGACCTATAGTTAATAATTTCCTTGCTCTTCACATATTGTTCAGTTTTGAAAACATTGAGCATCAAGCACAGATTAACTGTGTAGGGAAGGCACAGTGTTTCCATTGTTGGATGACATCTGCTGGAGAACATAACGTGATCTCAAGGTCAGAGTGGACCTCTTCCCCAAGAATTTATGAGGGCCCCTTCTGGGAGAGCCAGGGAGCAGCAAGGCTTGAATGAGTCCTGGGCCAGCGGGGCTGCCACCATCAGGGCCTGTTACTGCACTATCCATGGACCAGGTCCTGATCATCTGGCAAGAATGTGGATGGAGGTCGCCTGCTGCCGCGTTCTGTTTTTTTGCAGTCCCCACAGTTGACCTCTCGATTTTGGGAGGAAGTCAAAGCTGAGCACTGCTGTGGGATGCAGTGAGGTTCTGCAGCTGATCTGGAAGGCAGGAAGCTCCTCTATCGTGTCAAGATAAGCCAAGTAGAAAGAACGTGGATGGGATCACCTGGGCGACCTGTCCTCAGCTGAGCTATGGAAAGCCCACAGGGATCTTGGTGCTGACGGCTCCTGACATGTCTATCCTGAATCCCTGTCCAGGCTGGACTCACTGCCCTTGGGGTCTGGGGCCAGCTCTTGTCTTGACACCTGTCCTCTATTTTGCTGAGAATCTCCTGGGCATGTTGACTTCTTCCTTTTTCTGTCCTCCTCTCCTTTGAGGGATCTGTTTCCTCTGTGGAAACCCTTGAGGAGAAAGGCTTAGCCTCGAATCTGAATTCTTTCTCCACAAGAGGGTCACTGGGTTTACCTTCTCCTAGTTTCATCTTCTAGAACAGGGCTGGATGCAGTGAAAACTAGCAGAGTCTGTGTTCATCCTTGTGTGTGGATTGCTGTGTCTGAGTCGGGAGGCTGGAGGCTGCGGTGGACACGCAGATCCTGAGAGCCAAAACAGCAAGGGCTGTGAGCACCGATTGTGGGGCCGTTGCCCTCTTCTTTCTGGAGCTTCAGTTGTTTATGTGTCAGGCATCCTGGATAGTTTCCTCATTTCTTTTCTTTTTTTTTAAAGACAGGGTCTCATTCTGTCGCCCTGGATGGAGTGCAGTGGTGCAATCATGGCTCACTGTAGCCTCCAACTCTTGGGCTCAAGCCCTCCCCCATACCAGCCTCCCAACTAGCTAGGACTATGGGTACACAACACCACACCCAGCCAACTTTTACATTTTTTGGTAGAAATGGGGCTCACTACGTTCCGAGGCTGGTCTCAAACTCCTGGCCCCCTCATCTTCCCACCTTGGCCTCCCAGGGTGCTGGGATTACAGGTGTAAGTCCCCAAGTCTGGCCAGTTTCCTCATTTTTTTGGTCGCTCCAGTGTCGTTTTGTCATTTTGCTCTTATTTTGTGGCAATTCACTCAACTTTCATCCTTCAGTCTCGTCTGTTGAGTTTTCAGTTTTGCTGACGTGTTTTTAATTTCCAAGAACTCTTTTAGATCTTCCAGTACTTGTTTCGTGAATACAGTATCTTATCTGAGGATTGTATTTGTTTCATCATCCCACATTGTTCCAATTCCTCTAAGTTTTTTTTTCTTCTTGATTTTATTTCCCTTGGTCTTGGTTTTGCACATGAGAGGCTTTAACCTCAGGTGTCAAATAATCACTGGGTGTCGACTAATGAAGGAAATGTAAAAGTCTAGAAAAAATGGGTAAGCGTGTGTTCTTTTGAGTTTCACTGTAGGATGGTCTGGCTGGGCTGTTCACTGGGGAAGCGCAGCACTGGTCTCGTTAGGTCTTCAGGGATTTGCCAAATCCCCCCAGGACCCCTTCCTCTGTGAAGGGAAGGATCAGCCTGGCCACATCTCTGAGCCCTGTAGGGGAAGAAGGCTGGGGCTCTTCGCACTCAGCATCCAGCATGACGGCATATGGTCAGTTCATCCTTTTGTTTACAGTGTGGTGCCCATTCTCTGGATCTGTGCTGGCATCCCTAGTTCCACACCTCTCTTGTGCTTTCTGGAGAATAAACCTTGCTTTGGCCATGTTGAGGAAAAAGCTGTATCTCTGTAGCCTGGAACGTAGAAATTGGTTTCTCACCCAGCTTTCACCCATTCCATACTTAAGCCTCCCCTGTACCCCAACTTCTATGGGGTAACAATGCCACAGTCCTGTACATTTAAAGATTCTTAGCATTTTCCTCTGCTGGTTTTGAATGTGGTATTCTCAGGTCGGCTAAGGAATTTGCCACTGATCTCTCTGCTTTTCAACTTCTAAAATGATTTTGTGGTTGTTGCCTCTCTGCTTTCTCTGTATTTCTAAATTTATGTCTTTTTAGAAGAATTCTTTTACTGTATTTATTGTTTTGTAGCAGGATTTTAAGAGAGGAGCAAAATTAACTTTATGTATCAATCTGCTTTCTTAACCCCAAAGTAAGGTTTTTTTCTTTGCTGTTATTTTACCATCATTTATTGGGTCTCGAAGGGACTAAAATGCATACCTTATTCCTTCTAACAGCAGCCTCCCCTTCTAATTTGTGAGCTCTTGATTAGGCTTTAATTAGAGATGAAGAACCAGTGTTTATATATATATATATATATGCAAATTTGTTAAAGGAATTGGCTTAAAAGATTGCACGTGCTGCTAAGCAAGTCCAGAATCAGTGAGGTCATGGGCACATTCCACAACTGTTGTCTCCGGGCAGTCAGAAAAGGAAGAGAATGAGCAGAATGGAGCTCCACAGGCACAGGTACAGCAGATAC